TTATGGGTGTGGGCATGTGTGCACACGATCCCCCTGCGCTCCCCCACTTTTGGCAGGTGATGTCAAAAAGATTTGCCATCACTGATCTATAGTATGTAGATAATAAGTTGAAAAAAGGTGAACAACATTTTTACAGAACTATAGATATGTTGAGGCTGGGTGTGACAAGGAATGGCTGGGAAGGGAGGGGCCAGGCGAGGCACCCCTTGATGTGAGTGACATTGAGTTGGCCATGTCTACCCAGTCACAGACCATCAAGCTACACCCACTATCACATGACCATCAAGCCACGCCACAAAATAAGCCATGAAATTTAGAACCCACCCCTGATCAACGTCTATCTTTTTCTTTTAATGTTAATTGTTAATGTTAATGTTAATTTTATTTATATACCGCCCTTCTCCCAAAGGACTCGGGGCAGTGTACAGCCAATTTAAAAACATAAATATAGAGACATCATCATTAAAACTGTTTTGTTTGTGAAGAATACTAAAGAACATAATGGTTTACTCATTACTTTGTGATTTCTGAATTGAGATGTGGATTTCAGAGTTATTAACCTAGATTGGTTTTGTATGGCCATTTTAATAACATTCATTATGATTAGGTAATAGTTAAGCACAGATGGTCTGAGACAGCTTTAAGAAAAGGACAGCAGTGGCCATCTCTGATATATCCATATCAGGTACCCATAAAGAGATGATGATGGAAAGCTCTTAGTGAGCACCTTTAATAACATTGGGGGAAGATCAATGAAAGTCTTTATGAGTATATAGGATACTTCCCATACTTCCCATACTCCACCAAGAAACTTCAAGAGTCATTCAGTAATTCACGAATAATTAAACCTTGATCATTAAAAGTTCTACTTTTAATCTTGCCTGCATCATTACGTAGGCAGGGAAGACAGTGAGAACTTCAGTTGCTCAGGCAAATATAGGAAACCTTTTCAAGAGTTCTTTCAGTAACTTTACACTTTGCATTCTGAATCACATCCAGTTCTTTAGCTGGGGTGGAGAAGCCTCAGATTTGACTAATTGTGCGATGACCTTGGAGAAGGCAACCAGAAGCCATTAGGACAGCAACAGGTGCTGAACTATGAATAAAGCCTATGGCAACAAGATAGTATTGGAAAAAAATATCTCAGACTTAGAGCATACTTTAATGATTTGATCAATAGAGTGACAGGAAACCATGAGATTTACAAATATGGTCAGTGCACTGTGCAGGCATACATACCAGGTTTTAAATTATTTGCTATGGATGTGGGGTTGAATTATCTGATTGATCAATGTAGAGAAGAATTTGCTGATAAGATGAGAGATGAATTGATAATCGGTGCCTCAGATAATTTGGAAGAATTAGTCCAATATTGTTTGGTAATGGATTTCTGGCTGGAAAAGTTGGTGTGTGGGAAACATGGCATGTGGACTGGATTATAAGCCTTTTCAAGCCATGTTCACCTCCTGAAGGCCTTTCAAAATCCAGCACTGGCAAACCTCTGAAACTGGAGGAGTTAAGAGATTTCTGTCTTCGGAAATTAACAAAGAAGGAGAAATTTGGGGTTATGTTTTACCGCAGAGCTCTCAAATAGCTATGTCTTCCACAGCTAAAATTCATGCTGCTTTCTCAGCTACAAAATACCACATCTGGATCCATATAGCAAGCAAATGCCTGAATCATCCCAAGCCCATGATTTTAGGAAATTTCACAGGCTTCCTTCCCAGAAGCTTTGCAGAAGGGCCCTCAGACAAGTAAGGAGAGCTCAGAGAGACAACAGTAGACAAGTTGTTATTCTTTGTTTAGACCAGTGGTTCCCAACCTTTTTTGGCCATGCCCCGCCTAAGCATGTCTAAAATCCTGATGCCCCGCCCCCATGACATATAATTCTTACTATTCAAAAAGTGAACTCCTACTCATGCAGAAGAAGCCTAAAAGGCCATTAACTTGGTTTAAACAAGGTTCCAAAGAATATGGCATCCATGAAAGAGAAAAATAAAAGAACAAAAGACAGTAGAAGTACTGAGGAACTTAAAAAATAATAGTATGAAGGGATATGAAAAAACAGCAAATAAAGTTTCAAAACATATAATGCATAAATATAAAATAATTTTAATGGCGCAGAAAGAGGGGAATTTAAAAAACATTCTTAGCTTAATTTTGAATAATAAGATTGTCATGAATGAAAGAGGGGTTGTAACCTATGACCCCCCTACTCGCTCATTTAGTTTGAACCTGCAGCTTAGTGGGGAAATGCTTTGGTAGTTCAGAAGATGGAGGTGGATCACACAGGCCTGGCAAGGCCTACACATGCGTGGTCCAACCCGATTGCTCTGAGAGGAAAAGTCTTGTAAAAGATGGCTTGGGAAAACACAGATTAAAAACAACTGTAAATCTAACAATTTCTTACTTAAATTTGGGTCCTAGTTCTGTATCTTCACTGCTGGGCTTTCCCCAGCAGCCATCCACTCTGTCTCCCCACAGAGCAGCTCTCCCTGCAATCACCCAGAAGCAAAGCCCATCAGGGGTGGGTTCTACTTACCTTTACTACCGGTTCGCAATGGGGCCGCAGGCACGCACTTGCTTTGTTCGCGCGCATGCTTCGCAGAATGCTCAGAAGCATTCTGATGACGTCGGAGTCAGTGGGTGGAGTCTCCCTCCAGTTTTACTACCGGTTCTATAGAACCGGTCCGAACTGGAGGAACCCACCACTGAAGCCCTTAGGAAAGAGAGAGAGAGACTCTGCCAGTCCCATGATCCTTAGTGGGAACACATCTGATTGGCTGGCAGTTGCTCCCTCCTCCCCATAGCTGGGATATCCTTTTCAGACCAGGCCCTAGGAAATGCATTTTAACAAAGAGAACAATAGGTAAATGAAACACAGCTGTTTCATCACAAATATATAAGAACAATTACTGAATTCAAAAATTCGGTTAATAGCTCATTTTCAAATTGCCCCCATTAAAAATCAAATTGCCCTCCTGTGGGGCATGGGCCCCACGTTGGGAACCACTGGTTTAGACCAGTGGTGGGTTATCCCCGGTTCATACCGGTTCTATAGAACCGGTAGTAAAACCGGCGGGAGGCTCCGCCCACTGACCCCGACATCATCAAAATGCTTCTCCGCTTACGCAGAAGAGCGTGCACACAGCCCCGTTGCGAACCAGTAGTAAAGGTAAGTAGAACCCACCCCTGGTTTAGACTCATCTATAAGAAACAATTCTCTGCAACAATCAATTTCATAGATAAGGCTATAATACAAGTGTTTGATTTTTGATTCAGAAGTTTTTAAAAGTAAATGCACAGTTGAAATCAGAGACTTTCCTTTGTGGTTAGTGTACAGATTCAAAGATCTTCATTTTTTATATGTGATAACAGTGGCAAGATTCTTATATCTGCATACAAATGTAAAGATTTACAAATACCTACAATGAAAGAATAGATGGGTGAGCTGATAGAATTGGTGGAAATGGTGAAATTGACAGCTTTGACTAAAGATAAGATTTGACTAATTTATAACTTTACCTGGAGACCACTTTTGAAAAAAAAAATGAAATTGTGATTTTGGAATATATGGGATTTTAGAAATAATATGGAATATTGGTAATTTTAGAGTAATAATTTGATGTATTTTTTATCTATATTGGTATCAAAAAAGTGGGAAATTATTCTTTTTCTATTGTTTTACTTTTTCATTCCTTTTTCCTTCCACTTTTATCTTGCTTTTTCCTTGACTTTTCCCTATCTTTTAATACTTTTTTTGCTTGTCTATTTTTACACACACACACACACACACACACACACACACACACACACACACACACACAATCCACTCAGACACTAGAAACACAAAGTTTTCATATGGAAGACACTAATTCATTCTTCTGATTTGAATACATTCATAGTCCAAATTAGCCCCACATTACTTCCAGTAACCACAAAGTGGTGCCTGAAATACCTGTAGATCTTGTTCCATCTACTGATAGGACTGATATCTCGAATTGTGTGAGATGTAGGCTGTGATTTCTCTTTTCCTCCAGATCACCTTATTCTAGATAGTTTCCTCAACCTGCCAAAGCAAAAGCAGAAAGTCTCAAAGTCTGTAGTGAAAAGTGAAACTCTTGTGTGCAAATGGGCACATCCAATGAATAGAATGCTACCTGGTTCATACTTGCTGAAGGAAACTGACTCATTCAGGATGTTCCAAAGATGCTTTTGTTTTTCCTTTAAGTCATTTTGCTTCAGCACCTTTGGGACAACATGACCTAGAGTACTCAGAATCTCCATAGATACTCATTCAAGGGCCAATCAGTGCAAGGGACTCCAAATGAATTCATGGGAAAACCCATTTTTGCAATAATATGCAGAAAAAATGCCTTTACCTTCTCTGGGATGCTTTTTTGAACTTCCCAGGCTAGTCTGCAACCCTAGTATGTAGAATTTTCTTTCCAAAGAATGAGCCATTCCACTGAACTTTTGATCTAATGTTGACAATTGCAAAATACTGTATTTCTCAGCTAAAAACCTTAAAGTACCACCCTTTTAAGGAATCTTTTGCAAAACTACAAGATCAATTAAAGTCTGAATTAATCATTTTATCTAAAAAGTTTTAAAGCATTGGTATCAAATCATGAAAAATAAAGTTATCTCATGAATTCCAAGCTAGTTTTAGTTATTTCTAAAAATAATAAGAGTACAAAAAAATTATAAAGAAAAAATAAAATAAAATAAAATTTACCTAACAGGCTAATTCTTTCTTGCAGATTTTGCTCATAGAAAGTTTATAGTTTGATTGGTTTTGTGGCACTTGAAGAGTATGTGGGTTACCTGATTTCTTTTTTCTTTTGAGGGTTTAATTGTAAGTTTATAAAAATGCATGAAAAGGAATGATTTAAATACAAAAATAAATAAGATTAATATGTTAAGTATAATATCATAAGGTTTTTTTGTCACCATATAATATTATTTCTCTTTCTCTTTCTTTCTCCATTAATTTGAAGGTTTTCATCTCTACCACAAATTGCCTCAGATAGTTCCAGAAAGTTGTCTCCTTATTGTGATTGGACTGATTTTAGGTGGAATTATATTTGGGGTACAGGAAAAATCTCCACCAGTGATGAAGAGCGATGTTTTTTTTTTATATCTTCTTCCTCCAATTGTCCTCGATGCTGGTTATTTTATGCCAACACGCCTCTTCTTTGAGAACTTTGGCACCATTTTTTGGTATGCTGTTGTGGGCACACTCTGGAATTCTTTTGGCATTGGCATTTCCCTCTTTGCCATTTGCCAGATTGAGGCCTTCGGTCTGAGTGACATCACTTTACTGCAGTGCCTGCTTTTTGGGAGTTTGATTTCAGCTGTGGATCCTGTGGCTGTGTTGGCTGTCTTTGAAAATATTCATGTCAACGAGCAGCTGTACATCTTAGTTTTTGGGGAATCTCTCTTGAATGATGCTGTAACTGTGGTAAGTGACATACCTACAAATGCATGCAGACAAAACGTTTGCACTTCTATATGCAATAAAATCAGGCAAAACTAAGTATCTTTTATAAAATTTTTAGGCTTTTGTTCTAGGAGGTAAGGAACAAAGAGAAGGGGATTTAAAACATAACATCTAGTAATCTAATATTCAAAATATGCAGTGTTCTTATTTGTAATAGCAAATTATTACGGTCTTTTCAATTACCACAAACATGTGAATATTTAATTGTTTATTTCACATAACTCTCTTGCACAGGCAGACATTTGTGGAGCAAGGTTAAAAAAACCCTCATATCAAACATGGTTGGGTTTTGTTTGAAGAGCAATAGCACTTAGACTTGTATACCACTTCACAGTGCTTTACAGTCCTTTCTAAGTGGTTTACAGAGTCTGCATGTTGATCCATACAATACCCTCATGGCTTTCTTACCCTCCCTTTTTTTCTCCCCTTCCCATCATGCATCAGTGCAAGTTCCCGCATTCTCTAATTACCGAGTATCCTTTAACTGATGAGTAACATTAGAATGACAATATATAAAGGCTGACTGGGGTGCAGAGAAGTCTAGTTATTCCCTGATTTTAAGAATGGTATTGCACATCCTGCCATACACATAATTTCAAAATGGATATTAACTGTGTTGGTCACCAGATATATCAAATCGGTAACAAGAAAGAAATGCATTTTAATTTCATACAGGATATGGCGGTATTCATCTCACAGGAAGTGAGATAGAAAAATGGGAAAATTGCATTAGTTACTGGATAAAATCTCTGAGGTCATGAGAATGTGTAAAATGTTCACAATAAAAGCTATAAACACCTTTGAAATAGCTCCTGGTATACATATGAATGGTAATTCAATTTTGTAAACAACACTATTATCGTGTAAAGATCTGAACCAATTTGTAACTCTGAGTTTCACCCTTTCGCTTAAATCCAATATGAAAAGACTACAATACTCCATTAATGAGTTCTGCTGATTCTGACATCTGTCCCTGCATTTGGAAGGGGAAGTTGAGTTCTGTTTTGCAAAGGAATAGATAGTTGGCTAATTATTCTGTCCTTCTGGCAAAAGATGTTGATCAGTTATTTGAAAGATGAAAGATGTTACACATAACTCATTGAATGAACTGCTATTAATATTTTAAACATTCTGCTAAAGTTTTAACTGATATAAACATACTTTTTGTCATCATATATTGTAATTCATATAATTTGTATTAATTCTTTTTCCTCCTAAATCACAAGAACACATATTTCACTTCACTAATTGTCTTAGCTAATGAACTAAACAGTACATATATATTGCAGCTCATTAAAAGTGGTATTAATCTTTTTTTAAAAAAAGAAAAACCAAATTCTTAAGTCTAGTGAGTAGACAAATGATAACCTTACATTTAATACTTAATAAGAATAAACCTATGTTCCTATAATGTGGTAAGAAATGTAAACTGCGCATTACATATATTTTAGCTATAGTGAAATCTTATTTATTTATTTGAATTTGTTAGCTGTCCAATTTCAATGGTCTCGTTATTTAATTCTAAACTAAAAAGAAAACGTAGAAGACAAACATACTGTAGGAAGTTAGCACCCACCCCTTTCCTGGAAGAGTGAAATATTTTAGGAAATATGAAAAAGGCAGAATATTATATTTCCCTGGATGAGAAATATGAGAAGCGTATTTTACAGACAAAGCAGCTCCCACCTTCCTGCCCCCACCCTTTGTCAATTCTACATAACAAAGATCTGCCTCCTTCAGGCAGAGCCATAGTAGGAATTGCCACAGATAGGATTAGCCCTCTACACAATAGCAGCAGAAACTCACCAAATGTGACCTGGGAAGCACATGTGACCATCAGCCAGCAAGGCCCCCACCCCCTGGGAATCTGACAACCAATCAGGATACTCTTTTGGGGCCCCAAGAAATGCAGAGCCAGAGAGAGCATAAAAACCCGAGGATTTACTGTATCTGCCCCTTTTTCTGTTCAGGAACTCAAGCCATGTGATCCTGTCCACCATTAAACCATCTTTCCAAGCAGTCTCCATGTTTCCAGTGTCTGTTTCCCCACTTGGAGCAGAACCTAGAAGGATGTTTCTTCCAACATATACAGAGGAGGAATCATGCTGGATCTAAACTTTCATTCAGAAAGAAGCTTGAATAATTTTATTATGGATACATCACAAGTGATTCTGCTAGAATCACAAGCCCACACGAACTTATTTCACTTTTTTAGGCTCATCGTAGAAGCAGTTCTATTAGTAATCAGATGGAGTATTAGTAATTTTTTCCATAGGAATGTTGTATTTCAAACTCAGAAATAGAAAAAGTGTATAGCAATGTGTTGGGTAACTACTAGGAAATTGTTTGAATTAAATTTTGTATTAATTTTTCTATTGTACTTTGAAAATAAAAAGAAAAAAGAAAAGATGAATACAGGAGTGGCTAAAAGTTAATGACCATCCCTATGGCAATGAATGACCTCTATGAAAATAGTTATTTGTTGGCTACAGCCCTGTTCATCACAGATTTTATGCCATGACAACATCAGTTAGTTTTCAAGGTGCCATGGGATTCCTGGCTTGCTGATGACAATATCATACAGCTTTTTTTCTTAAATTATGTATCCATATACTTAAATCCCTATCAATTTTTAAAATCTCCAACAACCTCCAATATGCATCTCACATTCAGCGAGGTGAAGAAATAAAAATTTGTTGGGCTGAACCACTTTAGGAAACTGGCAGATTAACATTGTATAAAATTCTGTCTCACTTTACAAAAATAAAGTTTCTCATTCATGTAGAGTTCTTATAACAAAGAAAGTTCGTATTTGCCTTTCCTCTCCATTTGCATTTTAATGGAGCATGCAATGTGCAATTGCCATGTTAAATGGCACCATCCAGAAAAAGCATTGCAGTTTCATTCTGCTGAATATAAACCAGGTTAATGTCTATATTTAATAGCTGATATTCGATAAGCACCAGGAATACCTGGGGAGTAGAACAAGGAAGTTGTTGAGATTGAGATGGGAGCACACTTCTCAGATTTCCATTTCTGTTCCTGAGAAGTACTTCTGTACAGAGAAGTAAACTGCACTGGCACCTCCTTTCACTATTTCCAGCTTTTTTGTGTGGTCAAATTCCTTGTTGCTTGTGATATGGTTACTGCTTTCTCACAGGTTAATGAGATATGATTTCACCAAGCAGGGCTAATAAGATTTGCATATAGTGCCTCTTGCCAATGCATCCAGCCTGCAGCAAGTAAGCAAACATGTTTTGCTTCTATTTTCTGTGAACCACACATAACTCAGGACAAGATATGGTTAGTTTGATATATAGTCCACAAGTTGTTGTTCAATTACATGTTGTTTGATTAATAATAGAAAACACTATCTGAAGTTCTAAAGTTGGAAAGAACAACAAAGAATTATAGGTAGGAATGAAGGTCCTTTTTACAGAGCCCTAAATCATGAGAAATAACTTCATTTGTGATTCGTGGCATACTTACTCTGAAACTGCAAATAAATAGAATATGCTTATAATAAAGCAGGGTAACTGTGAATAGAGCAATAATGCAGTGTGGGACATGAAAGAGAATGTCTGGAAGTTGAGTCACTTGGCAAACTGTTTGTTTGTTTGTTTGAAATAATTTGTTTTGAATTAGTCTGAGAAAATTGGTAAGGGGGACCCCATATATGTCCTCCAGGATGGTTTCATTTCACCTAATCTGAATAGGCTCCTTAGCTGAGTCTTTAAGGGTCATTGTTCCTAAATTCTTAGATGGTCATTAAGTGTAATGAACCTGTGGTCTTGATCCTCCCCGGGGACTGATGCAAGAGCAGCATAAAAGCTGGAGGACTGGTTGTGTCTGAGACTTCCACCTCTATTGAGGAAGGCTTTTCCATTTTGATATAAATGGATTCCTTCACTCCTTTCTCAAACTTCTCTTTGAGAAGAGTGAAGGAATCTATGCTAAATCCAAACTCCTCTTTGAGACAACAATCTGCCTGGTGCTCTTTGGGCTTAGTTATTTTCTTGTAGATGTTTCATTACCCAAACTAGGTAACATCACCTAGGAGTAAGTTTGCTCTCATACCCTGTCAGTGTTGGTGCGAGTAGTCTTGGAGGCCTCAAGAACATAAATTTAGAGGAACCTCACTCCTTAGTACCACTGATGTTATCTAGTTTGGATAATGAAACATCTACTAGGAATCAATTAAGCTCAAAGAGCAGCAAGAACCCCTCATTTCAATCCCGAACTACAAATATTTTCCTTTATCATACAACCTGTTCTCCATTTTTTTATGCTGCTCTTGTATCAGTCTCCAGAAAGATGAAGACCACTTCACAGATTCACCAGGAAGATCACACTTAATGACCCATCTAAGAGAAGGATTTAGGAGCAATGACCCTTAATGATTCTCTACTTATGCACCTAATGAGGCTATTCATATTCGTACATTGCCAACTTAGGCTGGATAGAAGTTGCTGTTAAAAGCTTTGATGGACTAGATGGGTCAAAATAAACAGTTTCAATAGTTAGAAGATACCCTGTTTCCCCCAAAATAAGACATCCCCTAAGCCCAATTGGGCTTTTGAGCACATGGCAATAAGGCCAAGTGCTTATTTCAGGGTTCAAAAAAATATAAGACAGGGTCTTATTTTTGGGGAAACATGGTATATGCTAAAGATGGGTGACATTTGTGGGCCTTTGGTAGCGCAGTGGTTAGAATGCAGTACTGCAGGCTAATTCTGCCCACAGTCAGGAGTTTGATCCTGACCTGCTCAAGGTTGCCTCAGCCTTCTATCCTTGAAGTGAATAAAATGAGGATCCAGATTGTTGGGGGCAATATGTTGATGTTGTAAACTGCTTGGAGATTGCTGTAAAACACTATGGAACAGTATATAAATCTGCTATTGCTATTTTGGATTGGGAGACCTACACACTCAGTAACTCTCATGCTCATTGTATGGATAAATTGCCCAATGCTCTTTGCTTTGTTGTAGTATTATAAACTGCCATGCAATATGTAGGTTTAGAAAATTAAGAACAGTTGATCTAATTCTGAAAGGTGATGAATTTAAATAGTTCTGTGAAAGCATTTTGTGGTCACTTTGACAAGCTAATTTTTCTAAGTCCTTGCTAAACTTGGAAATGGAGAAATGACCCCTAGTAAGTCGCTAGGACTGATCCTCTACAGCAGGGGTGTCAAACTCGCATCGTCACGGTGTCATCACGTGAAGTATCATGACTTTTTCTCCCTTCGTCAAACCGGGCGTGGGCGTGGTCAGCGTGTGGGCTATGAGTTTGACCGCTCTGCTCTACAGTGTAGAAAGGGATGTTTGTTGACTAAAGGAGTAATGAGAAAATGAAATGAGACAAATAAAGCAATTTTGATAGAAGAATCTGAATGGATTTGATCAGATATGGACTAGATAGAACATGGTTTAAAGCCTACTGCATGGGAGAGATGACAGCAAACACTTAATCTTTACCACCAAGGTGACTGGCCTTTTTGAGAACTATTGGATTTCTGGTCCACAAGAAGATAAAGGCTTTTTGCTAGGGTAATTCCCTAATACATTGCAGATAAAAACAGTCATATCCCTATCATCTGGCAGCTATAAATCTAACTTTCGCTCCTGATTGAATAGTTTTAATGAATGTATTCAGTCTATAGATATGGACAGATGTTTGTCTTTGCTCTTTGTGCATTATGAATACTAAACTATGTAGAGCATTGGGTTTTGTTTAAAAAAAGTGTTGGACCATATGGAGGCATCAGTGTAACACTTCTGCTAATACAGCTGAATCCTTTTCTCCGGATTATGTGGCAGCTGTTGAATCACCTTTTGGGTACTGATCCGAAGTACTTCAGTCTTATAAATAACCTAAAGGATGAAATCATCTGCTATCTTTCTTTCTGACACATCATTTCCCCCCTGACATACTTTTTTTTCTTTTTCTTATCTCTTCCCCATCCCATCCCCAAAATTCACGTGCAAGGCTGCCAGGTAAGAGACTGATATTTTTTCTTCAGAGGATTGACTAGATTATAAAGATTTTTTGAAATTCACTATACAACATTAGATTAAGGACTGATGCTGCTCATTGTTACATATAGGATTGAATAACTGAACATTTTTTCCCTAAGGGGAAATTTTTAAAAAAGATGTGTTTTTTTTAAGAAAATGTAGCACAGCTGAAAGGTAATAAATCTTTCATCATATATTCCTTTTTTTTTCATTTGTTCTACTTTCTGAGATTATTGAATAGCAATAGAATGTAATTTACATTTCCAGTTACAATAACTGTAACATTATTTGGAAAGGAATCTAAAAAGCTAAATTTTTCCTTTCGTAGGTGCTGTACAACTTATTCAAATCTTTCTGCCAGATGCATACAATTGAAGCCATTGACATATTTGCTGGAATTGCTAATTTTTTTGTAGTTGGCATTGGTGGAGTTTTGATTGGAATCATTCTTGGATTTGTAGCAGCTTTTACTACTCGTTTCACCCATAAAATTCGAGTGATTGAGCCACTGTTTGTCTTCTTATACAGTTACCTATCGTACATAACAGCTGAAATGTTTCACCTTTCAGGGATTATGGCGTAAGTATATAAAAAAAACAAGCAAATAACAAACCTTGGCTAAGAATATCTTGCATGTATTATTAATAGTAACTTATGCTTTTCCTTTTTTTAAAAAACAACAACTAGGATCTAGTTTCAAAATTCGGAAGTAATAGCACTTAACAAGTCCTGTGTCCATTATGTTAAAAATGCAAATGTTCAGTGCTCAATTGTCTTCAAATTAGTTATGATTTGTTTGGTTTTTGTGATAAGTTGTTTTAACTAGCAGCCTATGTTAATATACTCACTCAGCCAGTTTAGGTTCTGAAATTATACTACTGTAATTGTTTTCCTGAGGCCACTAGTTCTGATTATTAATCTTTATTAGTGCAATCTTGGAATCTTTTCATATCCCTTTCAATCTTCCACACATGAAAATACGTGGTGTCAATACTGATATGTCGATTTTTCCCTCAGTTTTTGAAGGATCTCCTATGTTGATAAACAACAATGTGGCGGAGGATATTAATTAAACGGATCATGTTTTTCAAGTTATAGGCTTGTTACAAGGAAATAATATCTCTGCTTTTTACCTTTGAAAATTTGCAGTCTAGTTTTAGAAGAGTAAATGATTTAAGAAAATGTTTCAATTCCATCATTATAATTAAAGTTATCTACAGTACATTCAGGAACAATGCTATAAATAGTTATGATAGCTGGTATGTGAAAATGGGTAAAAGTTTAAGATATGCAAAAGTGATTTCTATTTTAAAGCTAATTTCTACTGCACACTTTATAAGATAGCCTTAGTTAAAATTAGTAAGCCTCAGCCTTCAATTCCTTTCTCATCTTTAAATTATTTTAAAATATTTGTTGAAAATTTATATATCTCAAACCTATGTTGAATAAATAACAGATAAAAACAACATATTATGAATATTTTATTTCATCACAGGGATTTATATATTCATACATTTGGCAAAATGTCTTACTTAGCAACATTAATTTTAAGCTCAATTGTGGTCGTAAACTGAGGACTACCTGTATTTGAGTAATATAATGGATTACTAAATACAATGTTCTCACATAGCTAATTAATTATTTCCAATATTTTAATGTGGAAAAATGTGAATGAACTAATAAGGCTTAAATTTGAAAAATAGACTTCATTGTTTAAATTGTAAAAGTAGAAATTTATTTCACTGAGCATTTTCTTAATTATAAAATACTATATTAATTCACCTGACATTTAAGAATCCCACCTATACTTTATTCCCATTAACAACATTTGTGTGGTTTTCAATTTCCTTCCAATTCTGATATTAATTTCAGCATTCATAAATATGATTCATCAACTAATCTTTAAAATGCTTCAAGTTTATTTACTGTATTGTAAAGACTATCATAGGTACTATTATGGAACATTCATATATATATATATGCATTATGAATGCCTCTTATAAAAACCTATTGCTTTTTCAGTGCTCTTTTTACTGAGAATAGTATGTCTTTTAATATAATATGTAAAAAATAGGTATCCACCAACTGTTATCAAATCAGACTATTTTAACTATGATTTCTTAAATAAGCTGCAATGGCTCATTCATAGATAGTGCTAAGTCACTATAGCCTGGTTTCCATTTCTACTAAGCCAGAATCAATTTATATTATGGCTAAGCATTTAATGGGTTGAGCTACTAAATTACTTTCTAGTCCAGTATATAATAACGTTTATATATACATTCATAATAAAAAGGAATGTAATAGAATATCGGATGTTAAGTTTCTTTTGTCATAAATGGAGTGATTTTGATCAAGTTACAATAAAGTACTTTCAATAGATTTGTATAACTCCTATATATTACATAATATAGAAGGGGAGCCAGGAAACTTAAAACTGAATTGTGAAAAAGCTAAAAGATAATATCTTATGAACTAGATTTTTCCATTAGACAGAAACTGCCATGTTTGTACAGGCTGATTTGCATTACTGGTAGATCTGCCCAGTCTAGTTTAAATGGTTTTAAATAAATGGAAGTGATTACCTAGGAATATTTAAATAAACTGAAATTAATATACTGAAATATTTCTGCATTAGTCTTTCTCCGCAAAGACATAAAAACAAAATACAAATCAAACCACTAGTAATTTCTTGAATATGTTTTTCCACCCTGTACCCATGTATGTGAGAATAGTAATCTTTCAGGTCATCAGGACTTAAATTTATAAGTACTTTTTATGAGTTTCAAAAAAATAATACAGTTTTTAAAAAGAGAACAATTTGTACTTTATCCTTGCTTTTATAGATGAAATCCACATTTCTGCTGTTATTACTAGCCAAACTCAGACAGCCCCAGCCATAAAAATATCTACCAGTATTAAGAGTTTTAAAATTGGATGGAAGTTCCTAGAATTGTCTAGTGTGAGTCTTCACAATTTGTTGGTGATACAGTCATTATGTGAGGATATGATAAATGGCCACTCTGCAGTTCTGGGCCACTTCAGAGATGAAGTGAGAAGTATAAAATGAAGCCTAGAATTGCAGCCCCACAGAACAGGAGAACTTTCATACTTCCTCTTTTGTGTCACAACATGTTCTGGCTATCAAAAACCACTGAATGGCATGGGAACTATTGTAGAAAACTTCCCGTGGCCTTTCTATTTGGTCAGATATGCCCTATATCATCCTGGGGATTTAGTAAAGTTTCCTATCTAAGCTGCTTTAAATAAGTACCTAAAGTGCAACTCACTTTTGCATCTAAGAATAATAGACTACTTCTATAGCATTCAGTATCAGCAGATTCAGCTTAGTTCAGCTTACTTTACCTTATATAAAAATATAACATGTACTTTGACCAAAATATATAATAATAATAATTAAACTGACAAGTGGTAGCAAATCCAGTTTGTATAATTTGAAGTTTGTTTGTACAGTCTGAAACATCTGTTACGGGAAGATATTTGATAGGAACAACATCATGGAACACATCTTAAAGTTCAAGATTAAAACAGGAAGCATTGCAATACCACCCACGCATGATATCTATTTGCAGTCTTTCTGACATCATGAAATGGTATCTTTTTAAAGTGAAATCATAACCACATTTAATATCACAATGCTGAATAACCAAAGGGAGGACAAATAATTATAGTAGCCACCTGGCCAATATGGCCAAGACAGCATTGTATGTCCCTTCAGAGCGACAAAAACCAAAGAGAATGATAACTTTCCATTTTCTACAAGCAAGTAACAATTAAGTTTTTGTTAGAAGAGTTGCAAAGGGATCCACACAATGCATTATGTTGATTGCATAAAAGTCTGTAAGTATTCCCAAAGACCTTATTATATGGTATCAAGAAATGTGTTCACAAATGTTAAAAGGAAGAAACTTAATTTTACTGAACTCAGTGACATTAACTTCTATAACAATTCTGAGTGATATTTATTTATTTATTAGATTTCTTGCCACCTATCTCATTAACACTGTGACTCTGGGCATTTTATTGGAGTAACCTCAGGTGAACGTTACTCAAATGTTTGCAGTAAAAATACAGTATTTGTAATAAAAATACAGAGAAACTGAACTAGTTTTTTCCTGCAGGATTACAGCATGTGCTATGACCATGAATAAATACGTGGAAGAGAATGTTTCTCAGAAATCATATACTACTATAAAATATTTCATGAAAATGCTGAGCAGTGTCAGTGAAACTCTTATCTTTATTTTCATGGGAGTATCTACAGTAGGAAAAAACCATGAATGGAACTGGGCCTTTGTTTGCTTCACTTTGCTATTTTGTTTGATTTGGCGTTCATTAGGTAAGAGTCACTTAAAACTTTCTAGATTGCACTTCAACCTACTTTAGTATTGAAATATTATCTTTTAGATAATGGAACTGTAGCTTTGACAAAGAAATGTCCTTATTTTTATGAAGAAAGTCTTATTTTTTTACAGTGATAGCGGAAAATCTTTACAAATGACTCTGAGTAAACCAATTTTTGGTCAGTGAACCCAATGATTATATAAGGAAGAAGGCAGAATTTGGCAGGAGATAACCCATCCATCCTACACAGTGTAAAGACACTAGCAGTACATCTCAGATTTTTTACTTTCAGCTAATAGGGAGTCTCTTCTTTTATAGAAATTCCTGAGGAATTATTGGCTTGGGTACCTTAAAACGGCAAAGGGTAGGGGATGCATTTAATTTGCATCCTTATTTTAAATTATAGTAAATATAGTATTTTCATTACAAAAACATTTACAATTATAGTAAAAACAAATTTCAGCCATAATGTATGCATGTATCTACCTTTCTATAATACCAACAGAAGATTATGACTTGTTTTTGAAGAATTCTGTTACCTTAAATGTAAGTATTAAAGTACATTTATTTTTTTTATTTTGATTTATGAGTTTTATAAGGCTGACCAATTGCAAGAGCAACTGTAGGTGCTTCACAATTTGAAGAAACATGAAAATGAGGACTAAAAATATTGTATAGTATCTTTGAAATATTAAAAAGCCAATAAGATAGTGGTTCAACAGAAGTAAATGGGACTAATCAATACTTATGTCAGTTAATGATCTTATATATATGTTCATCTTACAATCTGCCTGAATGCTTGGGGTAGAGACAGGTCATTGCATCTTTGCAGGACAAAACCAGGATGTCCAAATCTCAGATGAATGATGTTAGGGCAGGCACTGCAACAGAGAAACCATGTCCTTAACAATTTCATTAGCTGATTTTGTTATGGGGAAAGAACACCTTCTGTCAGGCCTGGAACCCTGACATCTTCTCTGCTAAATGTCATGGGACGAAGAGACAATTAGGAACAGGCAGTTCTACAGGTAACCTGATCTCTGCCATGAAGGATTTTATAGGAGATAATCAGTACCTTGAATAACATCTGAAAGTTTATATGGAGCCAGTTCAGTTTATGAAGCAGTGTGCTACCTGGGCACAATGAAGTGCATTCATAACTATTCACACTATTGTATTCTTAGTGGTTATCAAAGACAACTCTATATGGAACATATTGTAGCAATCTAGACAGCATATGACTAGGGCATGAGTGACTATGAGTCACAACCAGGAACGGGTGTAGTTGCATTAGCCTGGATACAGTTATAATATCAGAATCTTGACGGAATGTGCTGTTCTTTTCTTAGTCAATTAGGGAAATGTCTGTCTGACCCACTTACAAATAGTATCTGTATTGTCGACTTAAGATATGTTTTACTACTTATTGCTTTGGTAAAGAAGTTGCATAACTCTGTCAAAGTCATCTTCGTTATTGTGCAAGCTGTCACACAAGATGGGTTTGTGCAAAGTTTTTCCTTACTACGGAAAACATTAATTTTTCAAATCTTTTCCTCATAACTTGAATATAGATGAAATTCTAGCAAAAGCAGAGTCCAAGAGGACGCCAATATTGCATTCCAGTTCTGGTTAGGAGAGTTATTTTTTTACCAAAGTGATTTCCAAAATGTATAACTATTCAGTTTTGCTAGTGTTAAGATAAAGTCTGTATTTCCCCATCCAGGGCACATAACCTTCAGGCACTGGGAAAGAATCTTGACAACCTAACTTGGTCAGCTTAAGATGGAGATGTAGTGTATATTATACATCAGCATATTGATAACATCTTATACCATTCTGATGTAACACCATTCTGATGTAGAACCTTATGCCTCAACCGTTTCATGTACTGCAAATGTTAAGAGCAGAGATAGGGTAGATCCTGGGGAGTCTGTAATTGAATTAAATCTATCTCCCCTACCAACACCAACTAAAAACAGTGATGGAAATAGAAAGAGAACTGATATAATACTGTACCTTTCGTTCCTAAATTTTAAAGCTGGTTAGGTTACCATGATCAATTTTTATATGTGTTCGGCTTTTTTTTAGGAGTTTTTGCATTGACTCAGGTAATAAATGTATTTCGGACAATTCCTATAACATTTAAAGACCAGTTCATTATCGCCTATGGAGGCCTCCGAGGAGCTATATGTTTTTCTCTGGTCTTCCTGCTCCCTTCTGCTGTATTTCCTAGAAAGAAGCTTTTCATTACCGCTGCTATCGTAGTGATATTCTTTACTGTGTTCATTCAGGTAAGAATATTTCCAGAAGTTATATGTACAATATGACCAATAATTCTTTTCAAGAAAATCTGCAATTTGTCTAATTCACAAAATTAAAAGTGTCACACAAAAAGAAAATAACAGATTATGTTGTCAGAGAATTGCATGTGTCCATGGCTGAACATTTCAGATTTGTGTCAAAGCCTTCTTCTAGATCTCATCATATTCATTGACAATAACCCCATCTATCCTATTTATTTATTTATTGATTGATTGATTGATTGATTGATTGAAACTTCTATACCGCCCTTCTCCTTTCGGACTCAGGGAGGTGAACAGCCAAGATAAAAAACATTTATACATAAAGTTAAAAATAGATTTAAAATAATTAAATAAATTTGGCTTGTAATTTAAAACTTATCAATTTAAAAATCCGTATCAAATTTTAAAATCAACCATAAAATAGGACAGACCGGCTAACTGAAAAAAAATAAGTTTTTAGGGCCCGACGAAAAGTCCGGAGGTCGGAGATCACTCATATCTCTGGGGGTAGATTGTTCCAAAGGGTAGGTGCCACCACAGAGAAGGCTCTCCTCCTGGGGGTCGCCAGCCGACATTGTCTGGTCGATGGCACTCTGAGGAGGCCCTCTCTGTGGGAGCGAACTGGCTGGTGGGAGGCTATTGGTGGCAGAAGGCAGTCCCGTAAGTACCCCGGCCCTAAGCCATGGAGCGCTTTAAAGGTGATCACCAACACCTTGAAGCACACCCGGAAGTCCACCGGAAGCCAATGCAGCTCACGCAGGAGAGGAGTCACATGGGAGTGCCCCGTCGCTCCCATAATCCCCCGTGCGGCTGCATTCTGCACCAGTTGGAGCCTCCAGGTGTACCCCAATGGGAGCCCCATGTAGAGAGCGTTACAATAGTCCAGACGAGAAGTGACGAGTGCTTGAGTGACCGTGCGTAGGGAGTCCCGATCCAGAAAGGGGTGCAACTGGCGTATCAGGTGAACCTGATAGAAAGCCCCCCTGGCCACGGCCGTCATATGCCCTTCTAAAGACAGCCGTGCATTCAGGGGGACACCCAAGTTGCGGGCCCTTTCCGTGGGGGCCAATGATTCGCCCCCAATAACCAGCGATGGTGTCAGCTGGCTATACCGGGACCCCGGCAACCACAGCCACTCGGTCTTGGAAGGGTTGAGTCGAAGACTGTTTCTCCCCATCCAGACCCGCACAGCCTCCAGGCACTGGGACATCACTTCCAAGGCATCGTTGGGATGGTCTGGGGTGGAGATGTACAGCTGAGTATCATCAGCGTACTGATGGAACTCCACCCCAAAACCACGGATGATCTCACCCAGCAGCTTCACATAAATGTTGAACAGGAGGGGCAAGAGAATCGACCCTTGTGGCACCCCACAAACAAGGCACCTTGGGGTTGACCGCTGCCCCCGTCAACATGGATTGCGACCAGTCGGAGAGATAGGAGAACCACCGCAAAACGGTGCCCCCCACTCCCAGTCCCTCCAGCCGGCGCAACATAATACCATGGTCGATGGTATCAAAAGCCGCTGAGAGATCTAACAGGACCAGGATAGAGGAATAACCCCTATTCCGAGCCGTCCAGAGATCATCCACCAACACGACCAATGCCGTTTCCGTGCTGTACCCAGGTCTGAAGCCGGATTGGAGTGGATCCAAATAGACAGCTTCATCCAGGTACTGGGGAAACTGTCGCGCCACCACACTCTCAACAACCTTCACAATAAAACGAAGGTTGGAGACTGGACAATAGTTAGCCAAAACAGCTGGATCCAGGGATGGCTTCTTGAGGAAAGGCCTCACCACTGCCTCTTTCAAGGCAGCCGGCAGGACACCCTCACTCAAAGAAGCGTTGATAATCCCCTAGAGCCAGCCTCGTGTAACCTCCTGGGAAGCAAGCACCAACCAGGAGGGACACGGGTCCAATAAACATGTGGTCGCATTTAGCCGTCCCAAGATCCTGTCCACGTCCTTGGGAGCCACAGGATCGAACTTCTCCCAGATAACACTCTCAAGGCCTGCCTCAGTCATCTCGTCTGAATTAACCCAGTCAGTGGCCAAGTCTTCCCGTATCTGAGTTATTTTATTATACAGATACTGTACAAAATCCTCAGCTCGGCCCTGCAAGGGGTCATACCGCGCTCCCAGATGGAGAAGGGAGTGGGTCACTCTGAACAGGGCAGCTGGCCGGTTATCTGATGATGCGATAAGAGCAGCAAAATAGCTAGATTTCGCCACTTTTATTGCCACTAGGTAGGTCTTAATATGAGACCTTACCAGTGTCAAATCAGATTCAGAACGACTGGCCCTCCAACCGCTCTCTAGGCGTCTTTTCCGGCGCTTCATCTCTCTCTCAGCTCCTCGGAGAACCAAGGAGCTAAGTGAGTTCGGTGCCGGGTCAGAGGCCGCAAAGGCACGACCTGGTCCAAAGCCCCGGCAGCCACACTATCCCAGGCGGCCACCAGGTCATCAGCTGAGTCATGAGCTAGAGTCTCAGGAAATGGCCCAAGCTCCATCTGGAACCTATCAGGATCCATCAGGCGCCTGGGGTGGAACCACCTGGTCGGCTCCCCCTCCCTGTGAGGGGGGTGCGGCGGTCAGAAAGTCAAGTCGAAGGAGCGAGTGGTCAGACCATGACAAGGGTTCAATATCTATATCCCCTGTATCAAGGCCACTCAACCACTGACCAGAGATAAAAACTAAGTCAAGAGTGTGTCCCCCTATGTGAGTAGGGCCATGAATTACTTGGGTCAGGTCCATGGCCGTCATGGAAGCCATGAACTCCCGAGCTACCTCAGATGTTTCACCGATGGATGGCAGGTTAAAATCCCCCCATGACCACAAGTCTGGGGGTATCAGCCGCCACCTTGGCTATAACATTGAGGAGTTCGGGCAGGGTCATTGCCACGTGGCAGGGAGCCAGGTACGTGATCAACAAACCCATCTGCACCCCACGACCCCACTTCACAAAAAGGGACTCACATCCGGCTAACTGAGGTACAGTGGTCTCCCTCGGATCAAGACCTTCTCTTAGAATGACCGCCACCCCCCCACCCCTGCCCTGAGCTCTCGGCTGATGAAATGCACGGAAGCCTGATGGGCACATCTCCACGAGGGGAAACCCCCCCTCATGGCTCAACCAGGTGTCTGTAATACCTGCCAGGTCCGCTCCCCCCTCCTGAATAAGATCACAAATGAGGGGCCTACATCTTCAGCTTTATTTCTGATGCCTGCCTTCCTTTTCATCCTCCATTCAGTATATTCTCATACTGGTTTGTACAACATTACAAAACTCTATCCCTCTTGGATTTCAGATAATTTTTCTAGTTTGTGAAGTAATCAGCTCCTGTCTTGACATATTGAACTATTTTCTGGTACCTTTCCGTATACTTGAGTCCCCTTATAAACTTTATCTAATTCTCTTCATCAAAAATAATCAATCAGTACAATGTGAAATCTTTCCTCAAACTGCATCTCCTTTCACAACACAAATGTATTTTCCTTTCAAATATTTGTAGTATAATGCTATAATGCACATTGAACAGAATATGAAAATGACATCATGGCAAATCATGCCAGGCTGACGTGATTGACATGCTTGTTTCTGCTCTTCTGTACAGGGAATGACAATTCGCCCATTAGTGGACTTTCTTGATGTCAAAAGATCAAATAAGAAGCAACCAGCAGTCAGTGAGGAAATCTACTGCCGGGTATGTTTTCAATTTGAGGTGCATTACATCCCTTTTATGGGACGTGATGGCTTAGTGGTTAAGATGCTGAGCTTGTCGATCAAAAGGTCAGCAGTTCAGTGGTTCGAATCCCTAGTACCGCATAACGGGGTGAGGTCCTGTTACTTGTCCTAGCTTCTGCCAACCTAGCAGTTCGAAAGCACATAAAAAATGCAAGTAGAAAAATAGGGACCACTTTGGTGGGAAGGTAACAGTGTTCCGTGCGCCTTTGGTGTTTAGTCATGCCAGCCATATGACCATGGAGATGTCTTTGGACAGCGCTGGTCTTCAGCTTTAAAATGGAGATGAGCACCGCCCCCTAGAGTCGGGAATGACTAGCACATATGTGCGAGGGGAACCTTTACCTTTACCTTTACATGTCTTTTGGGAAATGCACAGAACCATGATTCCCAAAATGTGCATGTTGTGATATTTTACATTTATAAATTTGGACTTAACTATTTAATAAATGGAATTTTCAGGTACTTCTTTTGGCCTAGAGGCCCTGTGAAAAACTGAGACACAAAGGGTGCCATGCACTGAGAAAAAGATGTACATCTAGATAACAAGCATCATGTTCAATTGGAGGGACTTTCCTTTTCAAGTGGTGATAATGTAACATTTATAACATGCTTTAATTCATTATATTCCATCAAGTTGGTCTTGATTATTAGTAACGTATTTTTCAGATACATTTATTGTTGATTTTAAAAACAATTGTATTGGATAACAACTTATCTTATAAATTTATCTTATTTCATTGTTATTTTGGTATTGAAATTTTATTGGTATAAAAATCAAGATAACTTTTTCTTACAGAAATAAGTCATGTATACCTTTGTTTAATAATAATAATGTAATGACTGGTTTTTTTCATCCTAGTTCTTTGACCATATCAAGGCTGGTGTTGAAGATGTGTGTGGACACTGGGGTCACAACTTTTGGAGAGATAAGTAAGAAACATATTTAGTAATGATCTAAAAGAACAAGTGGAAAAAGCCAATGTATTATTTAATATTTACATTTTCAATATTAATAAATTTACAAACATATACTTCAATTAAGTTTAAGAATTATTTTGTTTCAGAAAACATGTATATTTAATTTTGCTTTATTTCTGTCACAAATTCAAAATTTCATTTTAGTTAGAAACTAATTTCTAAATGTCTAGTCAGAATAATTTATAAGAACAAAGAGAAATTTGCTGCAGTTTCAATTAATGTTAAATTAATTAATAGAATGGCTCTTGCTTCTTTTTCCCCCAAGTTTTTTTTATTTTATATTACTTATACATATCAATGCATGAATAGTGTGATACCTGGGTATCATACATTTTGATACAAATAGACATAATATTATTACTCATGGTTATTACATTTCATTTTCATTGTTTCATATTATTTAAACATACCTAATACTACCGCCCTTCAATTTCTAAACCTCCCTCTTATTATTACATATATCTTGTTATATTAATATATATATACTATTATTCCCCTTTTATTTCTCTCTATTCCAACTTTTTTTAATGTCACCGTAGTATTCAAAGATGTTTTTTTTTCTATCTTCCATCTGCTTTATTATTCATATTTCCCTTATTTAGCTCTTCACATCTATTTATATTGAGGTTTCATCCTTCACTCTTTCATTGTTCAGTGTTTCAACGTACAATTCTAATACCAATCACACTATCATTTAAACATATAAGGTAAATCCATTCATGCTCTTTCCAATCATGCAATCTGTGTAATTCTACTATTAATACACATGCTTTCATTAAAATATATTCTTTCATTATCTAATCACTCATTGTTTAATTTTATCATTTCACTGCGGCTCTTGCTTTTTACAGGTTTATAAAATTTGATAAGAAATACCTAAGAAGACTTTTAATTAAGGAAAAACAACCAAAATCAAGTATTGTTGCCCTGTACAAGAAATTGGAAATAAAACATGCCATTGAAATGGCAGAGAATGGGATGTTAAGCACAGTTCCATCTCTAGCTTCTATCAAGTAAGTAGAGAGAAATATGGAGCATATCAGAATATAACTCTTAAAAGCACTGAAGTTGAATTCTTTACTTTCTTGCAGCCCAAGAAAAGATAAAAAGGAGCATGCTGTTTTGTTTTTGCTTTTTACATTTAGGACTAAACACGTTAACCCATTTAATTACTTCTGGGATTTATTTCCTTTTCAAAAATTTACTTTCAAACCTTTCCGTTAATTAATAATAAAATACAAACAGAAAATGTATCTCTCCAAAAGTTGTGACCTCACTGTATTAAAGAAGTAAAAACATATATGGAAGTGAACATTAGGAATAACAATAATATTTTGCTTTTTATAAATCAATCTGGGAAAAGTTTGACCTTGTTGGACCTGATGAAGTGAACAGGGCCCTCAATGCCGTCAGCACCACCACCTGTCAGTTAGATCCTTGTCCCTCCTGGATGGGGAAAGCCTCCATACGGTGATTAGCAGGTTGGTTCAGGCAGTGATTAATTCATCACTCCAGGAAGGGATATTTCTAGGGCATTTTAAGGAGGCTGTGGTTCGTCCCCTCCTTAAAAAAAACTTTGCTCCCCCCGCTTATCCTATTTTCTCCCTTTCCACTTTTTAGCTATTGCATTTTGTATTTTATTTTTATATTTTTGCAGTATTTTATTTATATTGTTTTATTTTTTAAATATTGTAAGCTACTCAGAGTTACTTTGTAGTAAATTGGCAGCCAATAAATTTAATAAAATAAATAAATAAAATAATAAACTAAGTACCTGTTGTACTCTTGAAGGAGTGCATAAAATCAGGACATTGCTCCTGATGTTTATACTTACAACACTGGAGACCTCTAGTCATGAGCTTCGCAAATAGACAGACTTAATGCAAGTTTAACTGGGAGATTAAACACTTAGAACAGCTAAAAAGCCTTCTCTCCCCACCACCTCCATCTGTTACCTTCCAATTATTTAGGGCAATGGTTCTCAACCTTCCTAATGCCGCGACCCTTTAATACAGTTCCTCATGTTGTGGTGACCCCCAACCATAAAATTGTTCCTAAGACCATTGAAAATATCTGTTTTCCGATGGTCTTAGGCGACTCCTGTGAAAGGGTCGTTTGACCCCCAAAGGGGTCCCAACCCACAGGTTGAGAACCACTGATTTAGGGAATACAATTTCCCCAAATTCCCAGCCAGAAACTCATTCCAATCAGAGTGAGGGAAACATTTATCATTGATTTATAGACTGAATTGGTTTGTGTGTGTCTAGGTTAGGGATTCTCAAACTTTTTAAATAGGGGGCCTATTCACGGTCCCTCAGACTGTTGGTGGGGCGGGTGGACCGATGGTGGGCGTGGCTAAGCGGTCATGTGACTGGATGGACAATTTAGCAGTCCATTAAACAATACACACAAATTAAACTTTAATTTGTTATGCTCCTGGGGGTGGAAAGCAGATTAGTGAAGGGATGTGGATGCCTTGGGGTGTGTGTGTGAAGGACTTTTGTTTGTTTGTGTGTGTGTCTTTCTCTCTCCCTCCCTCCTTCCCTCTCTCTCTGGAGGCCGGGGAGGCCAAAAATTGTTTACATATTATTACATACATATTAATAATATATGGTATTACATATATAGAGGAGATAACCATAGAGATTTCAGAAGCTCACAGTAATTTAAAGTGGCTAAAAAGGATTAATATAGAAAACTTTTACTGCTATGTGTTAAGAACTTGTTACTGTGATACAACACAATTTACCAAGAAATACCTTCAGCTTTTCAGAACAAAATTTATATTGATATTTGGTAATATAAAATATATTTAAATTTAATTGAGTGAAATGTGTTAAAAGGCATAAGATATTATTAATTCTATAATCAATTGCCATTGATATGAATTATGAATTTGAATTAAATTCTCAAACATTCATGAATAAAAGACTCTATGGATCAACCTACTTGGGAAAATTGTAGATTTATTTAACATTTTAGCAACTTGTACTTTAAATAAATTGCAGATCAACATTATTGATATGGTTAAGTCAATACTAACAAAATTTGTTTTTTTTTAATGTAATGCATGATAAATATATTTTCTTTCTTTTAAATAATTTTCTATCTTTGAAAAAATGTATAATTCATATTATTCCAATGGAAGATCTGTTTAGTTCTATATTTTATCTCCTGTTATAACAGTGAGCCTGAAGAAGGAGAAAAAATAAATACACCTTATTCTGGCCAAATGGAAAACATAAGAGAGATTTTAACAAAGAATCTGTATCAGATACGACAAAGAGTAAGTAGACAACAAGAAATTAGAATAACACCTTTGTGGCTACATCTACTTTGTCAGACAGCTATTTTTTCATTTTCCAGTAAAAACAGTAGCATGCCAACTTAAGATGTGTACGGAGAAATAATTTCTATTACAATCAATAGAATTTATCTCCAAAGAAATGTATTTAGGTTTATTGAATAAGAAAGGAGATGTATTGTTATGCAATGAAGAGAAATAATTATGTTTATGCAAAAAGACTTAAGAAACATTTGAAACAGACATCTGGAACTGTTTTCAAATATGTGTCTCTTGATGTTAAAATTGAATATATAATACTTGGAGCATAAACACAGCATTACATGGTGGATCAGATATTTGAAGGCTACAATGCGAGAATGAACATGCAGGCTACTCTTCATACATGTAAACATATGCCACATTTTCCTATGCTTACCCCCAGTGATTTCTGCTGGAATGAAAATGACGTGAGCCTTGCTCATTTTACATTTAACATACAGAAAAAACCTCCACAGATTTCTCATTGATGTTGCAGTAGAAACATACCAATTTATATTTTGTTTGCTAGGAAGGACAGAAACCCTAAAGAACAACAAAACAGCTGAATGTTCATTGCCAATGCTGTGTGTGTGTGTGTGTGTGTGTATGTGTGTGTGTGTGTTTTGGTGGTGGAGAGAAGAAACTGATCATTTCCCCCTTACTCCTAGCAAAAACCCACCTTAAAAAAAAGAATTTTTCTGTAACGATTGTTGTATTTTTTCACTGAAATCAGATTCAAGCATACTTCTGAATACCCAAGGGGATTCCCAACTCAATCAATCATACAGTCAACCAGTAGGCTGCATGTGTTGAAAGTTTCATACTCCAATTAATTTTAATGAAAACACCATGAAAGTATAGTCATGCAAACACTTTCATCTTTAAAACACAGTCCTATCCAAAGGATCCCTGATAATGTGACTTTTTTCCAGAAGCTTTAATTGCCTGGGACAGTTTACCTGTCGGTTTGGGATGATTATTAGCATGTACATTTCCATCCCTGGCCAGGCCACAGAAACTATGAAAGTCTTGACCCTGTACCTGGAGGCTGTAGAAGCTTGGATGAGATGAGGACAGAACTGCCATTTTCCAGTTATAACTCTGGATGGGACATTATTTCCTTTGAAGGAGTAGGCTTCTGAGAGTTGATGCATAATATTATAGATATTGTTCATATCATTTATTTATCATATCTATGAATTGCCCCAATTAATCAAAATCCACACAACAAAAATAACAACCTTAATAATGTAGTAATAGCCATACCTGAATATAATATACATATATTTATCCTCTATCATCCACTATCAATCAGGGCCAATGGTACATTGACAGGGAAAGCACAGCCTTGCAAAATGCAGATAGGGATGGGCCGCAGAACCTTTAGGGAAATGTATGAGTGGCAGCCCTGTAATAATAAATTCATACCTGTATCACATCAGAAGTAATTGTGCAATCAACTTTACATGGACATGCCTTTGAAGGCCATTTGGAAACTGCAATTGGTGCAGAATGAAGCTTGCATGCTGGCACTTGAGAGCTAATACAGTCATATTACACCGGAATTACCCTAGTGCTGTGATGCTGCCTTTGCTCCCAATAGGCTTCCAGGTAGAACAATTTAATTCAGTATTTCAAGTTCTGAAGCCTGCAGACTTGGCTCCTGGATATCTTCAACTCCATCTGTTGATCCCTTTGGTATACTTTTTGAACCTGCAGAGAATCAGAGTCCTTGTGCAAGGATTGGGGATGCAAAGAGTTCTTCCATGGTGGAACAAACCTATGGACCACTATAACTCAGAGGTTCAAACAGCACTTACCCACGACCTTTTAATAAGTCTTTGAAGACAGCATCTTCTGCAGAGCAGTTAATGGAGGGCATGTTTGGTATAGTGGTTAAGGTGCTGGCCTAGAAACAGGAAGACTGAGTTCTAGTCCAACTTCAGGCATGAAAGCTGAAGTTGGGCCAATCGTTCTCTCTCTCAGCCCAATCTACTTCACAGGATTCTTGTTGTGGGAAAAATAGGAGGAAGAAAGAGTATATGTTCATTGCTTTGAGCTATATATAAAGTAATGAATGCAGAATAAAAAACTAAATAAAAATTGAGGCTTAGATAGTGTGGGAATTCTATTCTCTCAATATCAGTTAGAGAGCATCTCATCTTACATTTGTGTGGAAAACAGTTTAGAGATGTGGCAGTGTATCTCTATGACTCATCTTACATATCAAATAGGTTGGGTTATATAAATATTGTCTGTAAGATTATTGACATTTCTGATATTTAACATCTAAGTTATTAAAGTAAATTGTGGTACTAAAAGGTATCAAAGTAATAAATTACTTTTGGAATATTGCATCATTTTCAGGTGTTACATTATGCTAATTATGCTCTTAAGTTGTTTTTGAAGTAGCTTAAAAACAAAATGTGATGCAGGAAGCCTTTGCATCAGAATCACTATTATTAATATATTTTTAAAGCATACATTTTCTTATTTGTTTGTTGCAGACTCCATCATATAATAGATACAGTCTTGCTGAAGATGCAAATGAAAAGCAAGCCAAAGAAATTTTGATTCGTCGCCGACATAGCCTAAGGGACAGCATTAGGAAGAGCAACAGTTTGTCAAGAACAGTACTTATATATACATATATATTTAATATATTTTACATGGGATTTTATTGAACAATGTATTTTACTATATGAATGAAGCACTTAGGCCTCTAAATGATTCTCAATAGGTTGATTCTGTATCACTAATTACTGATTCTTTTTCAAGATAACACATGAAATCAATGAAAGATATCAATGAATAAAAGCAGTTTTCTGGGGACAAGTACTGTACATCTTCCATGGGAGATTGAGAGTTACCACTATTTTGGTTTCATACTCAAATATTTATTTCTTTATAACAAGAGCCTCTAAATGTTTTTGTAAGGACAGCTATTTCTACTTAGTGGAAAATATGTGAAAAATTAAAAATATATACAAAATATATCACAATATACCTGGATTAGTAAACCAAACATCTGCAACACTAGATTTTATTAGTCATTTTATTAACATTTGGGACGGATAAAGTTATTACTTAGTCAAATTAAGACTAATCTTTATCTTTATTTCAATTTGGGAGAATAAAAATAATTCATTCTTAATGGAAATAACACACCCCTCTTCTCTTTTCTCCCCAACCCTCCACATAGACAGTAAAATAATTTTGCAAATTATTGCGACAAGAGCCTTGGTAGTACAGGGGTTTAAGGCACCCTGTTATTAAGCTGGTTATTAAGACCAGCTGCCTGCAATTACTGCAGGGTTCGAATCTCGCCAAGGCTCAAGGTTGACTCAGCCTTCCATCCTTTTTAAGGTAGGTAAAATGAGGACCCAGTTTGTGGGGGCAATAAGCTGACTTTGTATAAATATACAAAAGGATGAAGGCTATTGCTGAGCACATTGTAAGCCGCCCTGAGTCTTCGGAGAAGGGCGGCATATAAATCAAATTAAAAAAAAAAGTGATATTACAACTGTGTACATCATGAATTAAATGAATTTAAAGGAATCATGTTTAAACAACTCTTGAGCATATCTAAAAAATATGAGCAGCAACAGCCACGGTCTTTGTTGCTCTGAAGTAGTAAGATTTACCTGCCTTGCTTATAATACATGGCCTTCAAAATCTATCCTTGTGCTGTTTGCTTGCATCTAATAATTTCAGATATAGAATCTTTGAATCCCACTGGACCAGCTAGGCAGAGAAGTGAAAGTTCTGATGAATAGACTCCTTGTGCTGAATGATTTTTCTTTATGAAAAAGTGGATTACAGTGGAACTAAGTATAGAAGGCAAAGGAGAATCTAAATTTTTAAATCCAGTTAAATCAATTCTATGTAGGTCCTTAAGCGTATGGACTTAAAAACTATAGCCCCTAGTTGCCAGGTTCTTTGTCCTCTGGTGCCAGGCTAAGACGAACCTTTTTCAAGCAATAAGTCTTTCTCTGGTAGATTAACACTGAGTGACATTTCACCCATTTAATATAGGAAATTACTATATATAGATGTCATTGATCATTGCTCTCACAAAGAGCTTCATTTGATGAGCTACGACTTGATGTTACTACTACCCTCATTTAATAATTATCTTTAAAATGTCACTTGAAATACAATTTCTTTTAAAAAAAGATTTGGAAAGTCCTCAGCCTTTAGAAGCTACCCCTATGGGTGACTATCTACTTCTGCATTTTCAACAATCTTATGTTGGGAAAGCTTTGCATGGAGGTACTCAGAGGTGGTATTCAGCAGATTCTGACCGGTTCTGGAGAACCGGTAGCAGAAATTTTTAGTAGTTCAGAGAACCGGTAAATACCACCTCTGACTGGCCTTGCCCCCATCTATTCTCTGCCTCCCGAGTCCCAGCTGATCGGGAGGGAATGGAGATTTTACAGTATCCTTCCCCTGCCATGCCCATCAAGCCACACCCACCAAGCCACGCCCACAGAACCGGTAGTAAAAAAATTTGAATCCCACCACTGGAGGTATTTAACAGATATTATTTCAAGGAGAAGCAGAAATCAATGGTTTTAGGATCATTTAAAAGATCTTAGGATGTTACTGATTTGGATTTTTGCTCTGATCTTAGTTCAACAGCAGTGGCTGGTTGATTAAATAGGATTCTTCTTTTCTTCCAGCCTAAAAGGGTTGGAAGGGTTCTAAAATATAACACATGGCAATTGTTAGAACTACATGCATATATATATTATTTTCTATTTTAAAATTAATAGAATGCTCCTAACACAGATCTCTATTCAACAAGAAGCTATACTAATATTTGACTTGTGTGTATTTCTTTCTGCCTGAACACATTTTATGCTTCTTTTTGCAGGTGCACATGAAATCACCACGTTACTTATCACTACCTAAAAATGCTAAACTTGCAGAGAAAACACGGAAAAGAAATCAATCCTCCTTTAAAGGTAATGCAGTTTTGGAATAAAAAGAAGAATGAATTATTCAGCATTTTCACTGCCATATAATATAGTTAATTATATTATAAATTGTTCTTATCGAGTTCTATACTAGTTTTATGTTTTGTATATTTATATCAGATATAGTTTGACTACCATTTCAAATATGTTCTTCCATGTCTTGATTCTAGAAAGCATTTTCCTGATTGTAAGTTTAAATGTTATCTATGACAGTAAACAAAGCAAAGATTTATTTAGGCATGATAGAAGAGGTGAAAAATGGCACATATAGTCTTCAATTATAGATATCATAGTTATCTATAGAAATATGGGATCATTGCATACATGCACACATATATCCCTGAATCTTTCCTTCTCATTTATAGAACATAGAACTCAACTAGGTGCTATTTTTTATTCGGCCAATGAAAACCCTTGTCAAGAATAAAGTAAACAGTAAAAAAAAGTGTGGTCTTGATATATTTATTTATTAAATTTATTGGCTGCCTATTTTACCACAGGGTAACTCTGGGTGGCTTACAATATTAAAAGGATAAAACTATACAAAACATATGCACAATACAAATAAAATACTATAAAAAATATAAATACTCAACCCTAACTGAAAGATGGGGAGGGAGGGAGTAGGATGAGCAGGGAGAATATGAGATTTGTTATTAATCTATCAACCACGTCCAATGTGAAGCCCCCACCCCCACCCCATTGCAGCCCCATGTCAAGTGGCAAATCCAGGTCTTTAAAATGAAGATTAGAAGGGTGGGAACTGACCTTACTCAGGGGAAGGGGGCAAGATGCTCCAAAGGGCAGGTTCAATAGTACTGAAGGCTTTTCTGGACTCCACCAGCCAGAATACCCTGGCAAATGGAACCTGAAGCATGCCTCCTCTGTCGGCACGATTGGGGTGGACCAAACCCCATTGGCATAACCTGGATCCATGCCATGGAGGACTTTAAAGGTGATTACCAACACCCAGAAATGTGTAAAACAATTTTAAAAAACACCCCTAACTATATAGTTCCCACTCCAACCTTAGCAAAAATGATGGAATTTAACTGTCCCTGATACAGTTTTACAGTTGTAAAATAGTAGATAGACCACCTCTGATAAGTGGAATGATTTGTTCCAGTGTTGGAAAACCTCTGGCATGGGTGTTCTGAGGATGGGATTGGACATTTGCAATCACAATATTTCAGTATCAAAAGATGTACAAACTACATTGCAGATATTCCCTGGAACGTATAGAAGAGATGGTAGACTATTGAGAATTATGCAAGCGACCACAACTGCTTGGGATTAAGCCTGTTAGTTCAGTTGATTCTACGTGCTTCTTCCTAATTCTAAAGAACTGCAAAGGATTTCTGGCTTCTCTCTGTCACATGTCTATGTTCTCTGTCATGTATTTGTCTGTCATTTATAATTTGCTCCTGATTATGTTGATAGCTCAGAGTCTATTATTTGTCTATGCCTTCCTATCACAGTCTTTGACTGTTGCAAGTTTGAGGAAACTCCAGGATTTCTCTTAACAGTTTGCCTTTTCAGGAATACAGCATATGTAACAGGTTGTAGATCAGGGGTGTCAAACTCAAGGCCCGGAGGTATTTAGATCTGGCCCACGGGCCTGTCCTGGAAACAGCTAACGACCATTTTTGGTGGCAGAGTGCTCAGGCCACCACAAGCGTCTCTGACACGAGTCACGTCGAGCTGGCCATGCCCACCCTAGCTTTGTCTACCCTGGCCCCTCAAGGTCAAACACAACCCTGATGTGGCCCTCAATGAAATAGAATTTGACAACCCTGTTGTAGATAATGATAGTAAATATGCTAAACGAAGCCAGTATCCAAGCAATTTTTCATATGGTGAATCCTGCCAAATGATGTCACAAGTATTAAAAAAATTAAACATTTAAAATGTTTTTTTAAAAAAAACATTAATTTTTTAAAGATAGGGGAGTTTATTTTGCATTTCAGTCACATTAGGTTACTAGACTAAACACTACAAGTCACAGTATTTTATGTAAGAACCAATTTCCTAATTTATATCATCATTATTACACAATTGCTTTGGAAGAAACCATACATAGATTTTGGGTTTTTATGTCTCTTTTAAATTCTTGTTTGTCTCTTCCTTTGTAAAAATAAACCATGTACCCTAAGATAGACAGTATTTACATTTCTGATTCTCTGCTCGTGCAATTAATTTGTTTCTCTCCTTTCAATGTTTTTGTGTAATATATATGTGGATTGTATTTTCTTTTCCCTTTTCTGTCTTCTCTCATATACACTTCCTTTGTCAAGTTATGTAGTTTGAATCCATCATGTTGTGCATGTGTGTTCATATTGTTTGTAATAAAATGTGCAGTCAGATATTCTAATAATTGACTACTGTGTTCTTACTCATTTCATACTAGAGAGGGACCCTAATATTACTTCATCGATTTCTTACAGTATCTGGGCCTACCACAGGGATACTTATAAAGATTCGTGTCAATTAAATTCTTTGAAGTTTTACACCATACCTGTATGTTTAAGGACATGTGCTATAAAGTGTACCGTATAGCACAATTTCAGCATGATTGCAGTGCCTTCTATTTTCTGTCTGTAAGAAGACGGAGAAATTTTTGCTAGAATTTAGTAGGTTAAATGGGCTCATGTGAGAGCATTTGGCTTAATTGTGCAAATCCTGGATGTGACTATGATGGCATTATCTCTGCCTATTATTATACACACCCATCTATTTAGTCCTGTTGTTGATTATTGTCCCATTAAAAAAAGAATCCTGCAAAACCTGTTTGGCCAGAAATAAGAGTAGGAGATTTATTGGAGATTTTGTTGTAACACCTTCAATTCTGTAAAAGAAACTATTGTAGTTTTTTTTGAATTGCTTTCCAAAGACTATAACCTGAGCTAATTTGGGGATCGTTCAAAGATTTGAATGAGCGCTTCCTATGATTGGATTGGAGATTATGCCATGAACTGTTTTTAAAAAGGGGTTTGCTTCCAATACTATTATTCAAACAGTTATGTAAGTGATTACAAGTTCAATCTGTTCCTGTCCATATATTGCAATTCTTTGGATCTCAAACATAGATTCATAACATTGTGTGCTTTCGCTATTTATTCCAATATTGCTAATATTTTTCAAATCCTCTAACTATAATATGCAATAATATATGGTGCTGGAAAGTGTCATGTGGACATAATTTTCAAGCAAAGAGGAGTCTGTAGCCTTTTCTCTTTGAAATGGCTACTTTGGTAACCTGGAGAACTTAACCAAATATTAATAAAAAAATCTTGCATACTAGGTTTATACTTAGGATGTTCATATTTTAAAAACTTGTTTGAGATACATACAAATTTAAAAGTTTCCTTCGGTGAAAAAAGCTGAATGATGACAATGTTGTGTTCTTTTATCTGTTCCTTTTCATTGGGACAGCTCCTTATATTTTAACAGAAGTATGATGTTGCTTGGGGGATGCGGTGGCTCAGTGGCTAATATGCTGAGCTTGTTGATCGAAAGGTCAGCAGTTTAGCGGTTCGAATCCCTAGTGCCGCGTAACGGGGTGAGCTCCTGTTACTTGTCCCAGGTTCTGCCAATCTAGCAGTTTGAAAGCACGTAAAAAATGCAAATAGAAAAATAGGAACCACCTTTGGTGGGAAGATAACAGCGTTCCGTGTGCCTTTGGCGTTGAGTCATGCCGGCCACATGAAAACGGAGACGTCTTTGGACAGCGCTGGCTCTTCAGCTTTGAAACAGAGATGAGTACCGCCCCCTAGAGTCGGAAACGACTAGCACGTATGTGCAAGGGAAACCTTTAACTTTTACCTTTATGATGTTACTCATTGTCCTTTTTTTGTACTAGTGTTTACTTAAAGGTTAGAGACTGAAGCAATAAAGTTCCAGAGCACTACAATTGTTTTTATTGTAAAGTTACATAATAGGAAAAACAATAGTCTTTTATAAAAATGTAGTCCAGAAAACTGTCAATGAAAAGGATGAATCTGGTAATGTTGGTTTGTGTTTAAGTACAACTGTTTCTTATCTAGATGAAATTGTGACGTGAAAAGGTGCACTTCAGTTGTTTTTACAACTTTTATCAAGTAATCTAGATAAATCTAGTAAGAACAACTTTGTTCATTATAATTTTTCTAATAAAAGTACCAGTTCTCAGATAATATAAGCAGCTTTGCTTTAAATTAGTAAAGATAACAATGATGTTAATTATGCAAATGAGGTGAAACATGGCTCATATTCCATAGTTAATTTGTGCTTTAAGGTCATTTACAGAATTTCCACCGTTATTTTTCTGTATTGGTGTATTTATGGCCTAATGTGGTTAAAGGAGATACTAACCTTTCTTCTCACTGACTCTCTCTTTGGAAAATGTCATTTGAAATAAATATTATGCAAAATTGGCACTGAACAAGAGCGTGCCTGGAATTTTAAGTAGATCACAGGTTAAGTGTGTCTATGTTTACAGGAATATATTAGCTTCATTATATACATTATGTAAGCAAGAAAATGTGGATATCTGGCAATCTGCCATCCACTGTGTACCATTTTACAGAAAGATTTACATATTTATTTTTATTAATCAGAATTATATAACCACCTGTCTCATGAGAAGTGATTCTGGGCAATTAAATATGCTCCCACTCAGTGTACCAACCAATGCACATTGCTCTTCTCCTTATGTGATTACATTTGTTAGCAAAGAATATCCAGTGAAGACTATGGTTCCAATTGACTTAATATATTTAACATTTTTGAGAATGTTATATTTTTGTGCAATAGCCTATCACAACAGTATATTATTATATTTTGTATCTACATATCTATATCTATCTATCTACCTATTTATATATTTTAAATTTGCAGTAAGTGACAGCAGTGATTCTGAATCTGACCATACCATGGTGCTGAATTTAAAATCCCAAGCGGGAAAAATTTTGAGAGATCAAAGACTTCGTCAGCAACAATGCAGAATTGAGTGGAAGAATGAAACGGGCAGAGACAATGGTGGTACAGCGAGCTATCCTCAAGGAACAACAAGAGGCTTCCGGCAACCACTGTTGCCAAGGCCAGCATTTGGCACAGTGAATGAAGAGTCAACTGAAGATGACAGATCAGTCAAGCCCCTGCCACCACCTCGATTAGCCCGGCAAGCATCAAAAGCTGAAAGGCCAAGAGATAAATCTGAGAATAATCATAGCAATAATTACTAAACAGATACAAACACCCAAACAGTACATATACTAGATTAGCCTGATGTAAATGGCAATAGGGCAGTTGGATTAAAAACCTGGCCCTAGACTTGTGGGGGGTGGTTAGGAAGGAAAGAAAATCTAGACAGAAATCAAGTAGGAAGAAATTCTTAGCTGCTCTGGGACCAAATAATGTAAATTATACAATGAAGACAACTTTGATCAATTATATATTGTATGCCTGACATGTGACTTATCTTTAAAGGAAAGGCTACCAGAAAAATCTAGACCATCACTAGAGGTAGTCCTAAACAAAGTCAGATTTTAATTAGGAATTACACTAAAAATTTCCGTCCTGTTAAAATATATCCAATGTGCCAACACACAGTAAGGGATACTTTAAAGAAGATTCTGTAAGAACAAAGTTATCTTTATTTGGAAATACAATCCCTTCGTAGTTTTTTTTTTTTTTTTTAATTTGATTTATATGCCGCCCTTCTCCGGAGACTCAGGGCGGCTTACAATGCGTTAAGCAATAGCCTTCCTACTTTTGTATATTTATACAAAGTCAGCTTATTGCCCCCACAATCTGAGTCCTCATTTTACCTACCTTAGAAAGGATGGAAGGCTGAGTCAACCTTGAGCCTGGTGAAATTTGAACTTGCAGTAATTGCAGGCAGCAGATGTAAGTGGATGTTAATTAGTCTGCTGAGCCACCAGAGCTCCTAAGGTTCAAAGGAGCTTACTTTTAGGTAAAAGGGAATAAATTTTGCACATTATTAAAACTGCATACTTGAACCACAAAGCCAACTATAACAGTTGTCAACTATTTTCTTGACAATCTTTTACTCCTTACATTCACTCCTCTGATTTGCTATTATGAATCACAGATCTGTTCACGGATATTGATAGGAGCTTGTATGAAGGTTGTCCCTATTTGTATGTCCATATGCAACATGACCTGTACAAATGGGGCAGGGGACTTGGATCACAATAGCACAATGCTCATTCTGCTCCTCTTCCCACCCACACATGTATTCAGAAGGTACAATCCTCTGTAAACCATTGCTTACTGTTTGTCTATATTATTTGTTAATAATAATGCATAGATTATTCTGCTCATCAACTCATGTAATATTCAGGCTGCCTTCAAAGTCCAAATTCTAATATTCTGTAGAAATGTAAATAGCACAACTACTGGTTTCAATCATCATGCTTTTAACTAAGTTAATGGTCTTAAGTTTATTTATTTATTTAAACATATTGAAGTTATTTTGAAATTATGTGTCCCTAGCTAGAGATTTTTTTTTTTAAAGCAGCAATATAATTAAAAGAATCTTTGCTTTAAGACAAACAGGAGTGTCTTTAAAAGTCTTGCTGTAATACTCTCTTAACATGCACTATTATTAATGATCTCATTTCTTTGAAAATAGTTTGCTATTTGAAGAAAAAATAAATAAAATGCACTTATTGTACATACCCACATACATACATACGTTTAATCACAAATCAGAACATTATTAGATTAGCTTTATTGATTAGCCTGTAGGCTATATCAACACAAATCAAAAGTGTTTTCCAAACAGTTATTGGTCCTAATAATATGCTCTTTTTGATAGAATGCTAGAAATATAGACTTAAATTAATCAGTATTTGCTTTACAAATGAAATTGTCTACGGATAGTAAAAAAAAATAAATGCAATGGGGCTCCAGAATATGTGATGGTGATACATTATACTTTTGACTTAGGCCGCCTAAGCATAGTAACAGTATTGTAGTGCATTGTTGTTTGACGCTGTTGCTTTGAGCTGAAATTCAGTTCAACATTAAATGGCTGAAAAAAAGTCTTTAGTGCCATCTATTGGTAAATACACAAATAATTTCCTTTGGTCTTTTAGAATAGAAAACTCTGTTCTTGTCAACATAAAAGACATTGTTTTAAATATATCAGCCATCAGCTGATGTTATTACTTTTAATGCAGGCCATCTCTGGAGAAGAATCTGATAATATTTTGACAACATAAAAGTTACTTGGACTTTTGGATGGACATTGATAAGGTGCAATGGGAACAAATGTTCTTTATTGATATCTATTAAGAAACAGGATAAGGTAACATTTGCAGAATTAGCCAAATTGACAATGTGAGAAAATTCAAACCTAATTTATTGGTACAATGTTAACACTTTCATCCAGCATATGGTTAAGTCACATGTTACACAGGAACGCAGCATACTTCAACCCTGTTGAAATTACTATTAAAACCACTATTAAAGAAGTGGTTTGGAGTTTTGCTGTACTGTACATCGAGACAGTATACTTTTTTCCTGCTCCTGTAATTTTGATTCATATTTGCATTATAGGCTGTCACCTACTATTGCCACATGAAGGAATATTTGCTAATTATAACCATTTTGACTCAGCTGTACAGTTTAATAAGAATGGTTAAAAATTCAAAAACTCACAAAAGAACTTAAGAATTGAAGGTCTCATATTATTTTGCACACATTTATAATTTCCATGTTTTATGATCGTTTGGAGTGCTGCAAGGAATAATTCTGCCACATTACTACAATCCTGACTGATGGGAGTTTAAGGAAAATTTGGCATGCTAGAAAATAAATCACTAACAGGAATTAAGGTTGATATAATTTTCATGATTAAACAAAACCTGGACCCTGATAATGAAAAACTTGCAGAATGAAATTCCTTTTCTACATTCAGATGAATCTGAAGCTCTTGAACACCTTTTTCTGTATTCTTTGTAGAAAAGCTCCAATAATTATTATGATGAAGCCTTAAAAGGTAAATTTCCTGCTGGTGCTCATGAATGCCCTTCCTAATTCTCTCCATCAAGATAAAAATGTGGAAATGTAAGAAACAGAGTTTTGTGGTAGCATGTCTCACAGGTAACAATGAAATTAGTTTTTGTAGAGGAAAAGTATTTGTAAGAACTCACAGAACAGAAAATGTCATTATCACTGAATGTAATCATTACTGACCACTAAAAGAAGTATTTTTTATTATATTTCATTTTATTTCTTTCTATTCTTTGTATTATTTTTATAAATAACTCAAGGCTGTGAACATATTGAACACCTGTTTTTCCTCCTATTTTTCCCACAACAATAACCTGTGGGGTGGATTGGGATGAGAGACTTTCAAGGCTAGGGGAGAAGTAGAACTCATGGTCTCCTGCTTTCTAGCCTGGTGCTTTAACCACTAGACCAACTATCTCCAAACTTTGTTTTTAACTGCAGTGTATACATGCATGCAGTACATACATACACATTTCAATATTCCGATGAATACACCAATACATTCACTATGTCTCTCACATGAGCCGTGGTGGAGCAGTGGTTAGAATGCAGTAATGCAGGCTACTTCTGTTGCCTGCCGGTTGCCTGCAGTTTGGCAGTTTGATTCTCACTGGCTCAAGATTGACTCAGTCTTCCATCCTCCGAGGTCAGTAAAATTATCGTTGGGGGCAATATGCTGACTCTGTAAATCGTTTGGAGAAGGCTGTAAAGCACTGTGAAGTGATATATAAGTCTAAGTACTATTGCTCTTTCTATTGCTGCAAACCATTCTTGCTTTTATTACAATCATATGCTGGTTTGTATATTGCCATTTTTTACTCTTTGTGAGATTCTCATTAGCTCAACCGAATTATAAGATTCTCAATTTTTGCTTCCTTCTTGATCATTCACTTTTTCTTCATATAGTTGTTTTTTCAGCTCAGTCGTATATTCTATCTGACCAAACCATCTCAAAGTATTTCATCTACAGTAATAATGTCATGCCCCCCGTCGGAATCTGAATCTGCGGGGGAAGATGAGGTGGAACAAGAGCCAACAGAGATCGAGAGGATGGCTCTGTTGGTCTTGGATGAAACTGGGGAAGGGCAGAGTCAGTCCGGGCAAGGTTTTTCAGATCAGAAAGGCTTGCAGACAGGGAAGAGCAGAAGAGGCAGAGGTCAGGCGAAGAGCAAGGACCACCCCCTCCTGATCCTAGAGCACGCAGAGAAGAGAGAAGGTGAGAACAACACAGACTGAGCTGGTTACAAGGGAAGAGAGTGCCCACCCCGTTCACAAGGCACACCTGGTGATTGAGATGTAAGGAGATGCCGGTGGGAGTGGCATTTGTTGGGAACAAGTGTTGAATCTGTGGAGCCTTGTGTGCACTTGCCGATCCTGGAGATTACTGTTCTCTGTCTTGAAGGGCTTGCCCTATTTGCCTGCTTCGCTGAACTTCTTCCTCTGGTTACTGTTTGGCTAACCTGGTTTACTGGATTGCTTGACCTGGATACTGTTTGGCTAACCTGACTTACTGGACTACTGGCAGCCAGAGACTGCTGAAGGTGCGTGAGAGCTTTGCTCCAGGACTTGTAGTAAATGTGGGGACGTTTGGGGGCAAAGTTGGAGCAATAAAGGAGAGTTAGACCTGTTCTCTGGCTGTGTTGCTTTCGTGCCACGCCCCAGGTCATGACATATAATTTATTTTTGTGTTCAATCATTCATGCACTGCTCACTGTATCTCCTATTTTACCACATATAGTTCTTAGCATCCCATTTCTACTGCATGCTACTTACTCTGATATTTAATACATAGATGATTCTCATTCTCATACAAGATGACCAGAAACCTTTTTTGTTTTTTTTAACAAACGTTTCTTCTTCACAAGAGACCACATACTACCTACTACCTTTTTAGCAGCATTAGCACATCCTAAAATTTTTCTATCCGTTTTTCTGTTTTCATAAATATTTCACCAAAGGTATACAGATTTACTAATATTAGTTTTCATCATTTACATATAACTTGCTATTCACTCAACTTTCCTGGTTACTACTGCTACCATGGTACCCAATATCTTATTTTTCATCTCAATACTCCAGATTGCAGCATAATCTAACAACTGCTGCAAATCAATTGTGTCTTCAACAACGTATTATTAGCATATAAAAGTATGTACACACTGACATTTCCAAGAAAAACAATTCTGTCAACTCAAGCATGTTATGTTTGTCCAAAAGTGTATCATATGACCAAGAAAAGATTGCATATACTTGAAGTACTCCATTCTCAATATTGAACCATTAATTAAGCATTCAATTTGTTCTCATGCAAGCTTTTCTATGATACATCACTCACACTGCATTTAGCAACCATGTTTCAATCCATACCCAAACCTCACTTTATCATATACTTTCTCTAAATCAACAAGTATACAATGAAATTCTCATTCATTTCATTCATTTCCATATCCATTGCATAGCATGAAGCTGCTTTGTTGCATTGCATTTCCCCAATTTTGCTCAGTCACTTGTTACACTTTCAGTCATAATTCTGCTGAAAAGTTTCCCATCCATTTTTATTGTTTTTTATGAATAAAGCAGTGAATATATCTAACACACTTTCCTCCTCCTATTTTCCTCACAACAACCACCGTGTGAAGTGGGTTGGACTGAGAAAGCATGAATGGCCCAAAGTCAGCTTGCTGCTTTTTCATGTCTAAGGCGAGACTAGTATTCAATCTCCTGGTTTCTAGCCTTGCACTTTAACAACTACACTCAACTGGCTGTATTTTAAAAGTTTTAAAATAGAATTTTAAACTTCTATTTTAAAATAGAAGTATTTTAAAATTTTAAAAATTAAAATGTTTAAAATAAAGTTTACTTTTTTTTATTTATTTATATGCCGCCCTTCTCCAGAGACTCAGGGCGGCTTACAGTGCGTTAAGCAATAGCCTTCATACTTTTGTATATTTTATACAAAGTCAGCTTATTGCCCCCACAAACTGGGTCCTCAATTTACCTACCTTAGAAAGGATGGAAGGCTGAGTCAACCTTGAGCCTGGCAAGATTCGAACTTACTTTAATTGCAGACAGCTGGTGTTAAATTACAGTGCCTTGTCTGCAGAGCTATCTAGGCTCTGTTACTATTTACTACTTTTTCATTCTTCCAGTTATTTATATATGCATCTTTACCAATACATTAAGCCAATTCTATAACCATTCCATAAGCAAAGTAAGTCTATAATCTAACATTCTCCTGTTACACTACTTACACCTCAGCCTTACCCGTTCTTCAATCTCCCACAATATTCACAACACTGTAAAGATGCTGGTTGTCACTTTTAAAATTCTACATGGCATGGAGCCACAATACCTAATGGCTCTTCTGTCCATGAGATTTGGAAGAATGGGCATGCTTCCAGTTCCATTGATGAAGCAGTATTTCCTGATGGGCTCCAGGAAGTTGCTAATAATAAGGACAGTACTGGTTAGTTTTTGGATATTTGGCCAGTATGTCACACGCACAACTGCTCATTTTTATTTGTGCATGTTCAAATAAATATTCTATGCAATATTCTATGCAAATACGCAGTTGTCCAATCTAGAGACAATATTGTAAGCCAACATACTGTTGCCCACATCCAAACCTCAAAGATACAAATAATATATTGAGATATAATAAGAACAGGACGTAGGATTCCCTACTAAAATAAAATCTTTTCAGAATGTTTAATTAAGACAGTAAAACATTTGCTGCTTTATTTGAAGAGCAATATAGTTTTCTGTTAATGAAAGTAATATATTCCTCTTGAAATGGGAATGCTATATATACTAAACATATATACATTGATATATTGCATGGGACTGCAACTGAATAAATGACATATAGATCATCTAAAGTTTTCTTTTTCCTTTTATTTCCCATTACCAATATTGTAGTGCAATTTTAAAACCAAACATTTGCAGAAAGCAATTCAAAACCATCTCAAATAGTACTACAGCACAAAATCCCTGAGTATAACTTCTTAGAGGCTTTCAAGTATTCCAAAAGTATGTTAAATATTTTCCAAATACTTTTGCTACATAATATTAAGTAGCCAACTCAAGATTTCTGGATTGAATTTCACAAGAAAGTTTGTTGAGCATTATTTGGGTTGTGAGCAAATCTTAACTTTGTCATGGATGTAGAGTTTGCTGGGAATTAATCTTACCTAACTTGTAAGGTTTACTTCTAATCTGTGTAAGAAAAGAATATGGCTGTTAGTTCGATAATATAGAAAGACAAAATCTAGCTTACATTAAGAGCAAATATCCAAATCTTTCTCTTGCAGGCTACTTTTAGAAAGGGCAAGCACTATTTTGTATCCTCTTAGCACTTCTTTACTTAAAATTTAGGCACATGTCCCTCTGTTGTTCTAAAATAGTGTTTCTCAACCTGCTGGCTGAGTAATTCTGGGAATAAAAGTCTACATATTTTAAAATGTGAAAAACACAGAGTTGAAGAGTATTCAATACAAAAGTTGAAAAACACTTAAAAGAGTAAGGCTGATGACAGAAAATCAGAATTTCATGGTAAGCATAATGTATATTTCCCTTTTTTCTCATTTTCTTTTAATCATCTAGTTAGATCTAAACATACCATTAATAAATGTTTGAATGTGAAATCAATTCTCTTTAATAGGTGTAACATTTCCTTTTGCAAAATCATACTCCTCTCCTCCAAATACTAAAACAGGGTTGTATTATTCTGACCTACCACACTGAATACAAGCTGTGCCTTTCTCCAACTGCAAAGAAATAGTCTTCATACTGAAGGCTCTAACATGGAGTTGGTAAATTGTGTTCAGCAGCGAACACTTTTGCAAGGCTTTGTCAATGTCAAATTTGTATTAAATAAGCAGCAGCTTGTATTCAAACTGTGAGGGACTTGATTAAACAAACGTTTCATTTGAAGCAGCTGATCTTTGATATGAAGAAAAGGAAAGAAGACTGTATGCAAACAGAACTGTGACTACTTAAATATGTACTTTTAAAAGGAGCTCGATTCACTTGGTGAAATCTTGTTAACTGAATGATCAAAAATAGTTTTTAGTTTCAATACTCATTTTAGAAGAATTGGAACAAAATCTATGTTTCTGATTGAGAAATGGATGCTATTTTTAATACAAGGTCATCCTTTGGGGATTAAGCTCAACAACCAACTTGCCATTAAGCAAATTACATCTCTTCAAAGCCTTTATTCAGTGAGAGTGAATACCTGCTGGAAGGGCAGTTCTTCCATTTTCTTCACTGATGTTCAAAACAACCTTTAATAAAGGTTTGAAATATGGTATTGCATGCCATCAAAACCTGGTCCAAATTCCACATAAACACGAGGAAGCTGAAAACATGGGTTCCTCTTTTTTGTTTAAAGGATTTCGATTTGATTTAAAATGTTATTACTCTGTTTTATAATTTTCTATTTTCCCTATATTGAGGACTGATCCTTTGAGAGTCTTTTGGCTTTTTTTTTTTTTTTTTTGGAAAAGCACTGTAAATAAGTCATCACATACTTTTAAATTTCATGGTCCTTCTGACAGAATATCGTGACTTATTAAAGACCATGATGAGAACTGCTAAAATCCCCAACAGGCTTCCAAGAATTGGTGGGCCACGTGGACTGTATTCCTGTACAACACCTGAAAGGAGAGGGGAAATTATGCGACCCACAGCTGAAACAGACTGACCAACACCAATGAGCATACCACTGGCATGATCCCCACCCAGCATTAGTTCAAGTTCTGTAATACATGTACGTCCCACAGTGGTTGAAAATGCTAAAAATGTACAAGACAAAACGACTGTCCAAAGACTTTCTGATAGAGAATACAGAAACATAAACAGGCAGGTAAGAAGAGTAGAGTGTAATAACATAGCAAAAGTATTGTGCCTATAATATTTAGTGATAGGTCCAAGGAGGAAGCCAGCAGCTACTCCAAGTGTGCTACCATAGCTAATTAGGTAGCCAGTGAGTTTGGGCTTCATTCCAAACCTTTCTTCAAGGCCCAAGACAAAATTGCTATGATAGAGCATAACCGCAATAGACATCAGGAGCCGTACCAAAAAAACATCCCAGAGATTAGAATTTGCAACACTGCCAAGCCTCTTCAGCACAGACATAATTTCAATGCAAGAGGAGTTCCTAGGATGAGCAGATGACACGGCTTTGTAAGATGAAGATGTAGTCTGAAGGCCGTGCTTTACTTCTTCTGAAATAATACTTCTGGATTTGTTAATAATGGCCCATTCACGACTGTGCATCTTTTTTCCATACCGTAGCAACATCCAAAAAAACAACTGCAAAGAAATTTGACCAATGAGTTACACCATGACATTTGTTCTCTTGACATAACCTGATGATCATTGCACAGTCATTTTATATGGTTGCACATTAGGTACTGCCAATTGTGAAAAAATAATTAATGCAATGGCACAGCTTTGAACTAAGCAGCTCTTTTCTCAAGATAGTCAAATAGTTTTCATACATCTGCAGCATAACTTTATCACATTTATTTATCTGATTAACATCATGCCCTTTTTTTTTTTTTTGCAATTGGATGAGGAGGGGGCATGTAATTGGTAGGTTATTTGCAATAGCAATAGTCAACATTTATGAAACAATATAAAAGATAAAGTTAAATCAGGGGAAGAAGTATGTTCCCAGAAATATAATTTTTGCCCGACTGGTGATTCAAATATAAAATATCAGCATAAATCAAATCACATACCAGCATTCAAGACAAAGATGGAAGCACAGATGAATGCAGTCAGGTAAAAGCCACCTTCCAGCTCTGTAAGATAGCCTCCAACAACTGGTCCCAAAATGAAACCAAAATTCGAAATAGCATTGAAATAGCCAATTACTAACAGGCGCTCTTTCTTAGGAACCAAGTCAGAAATGAGTACTTTGGAAACGGAATGTGTATGTTTGAAAATACCTAAAATGAACCAAAGGAAAAAAAAAAAAAGTAAGGTAGAGAAGCAAAATTTGAATAACTCAAGTTGTTAAGTGAATCACTGTAATTGTTAAGTTAATAACATGGTTGCCCAAATTTAGGCGCCCAAATTTTGATCATGTGAGCATGGGGATGCTGCTATGGCCGTAAGTGTAAAAAACGATCATAAGTCACTTTTCTCAGTGCTGTTGTAATTTCGAATGGTCACTAAACAAATGGTTGTCAGGCCTACCTGATTTGTAAAAAAAAAAAAAAAAAAGAGAACAAAATGATCTATTTATAAGTTCAAATATTTGTCAACAATTTGTAAATCAAATAATAATTTTTTATTAAATATTTTTATGAAAAAAAAAGTATGACATTAATTTGTGGCAAAAAAATTGTACTTTTTTATGATGCTGTTGGTAAGTGTGCACAGTTTCTCATAACAGAAAAAAATCAGTAGTGAAAGGAGTAGCTAATCTTATATCCTGTTTATCTACAAGCAAGACATGAGCAAATAGCATTATCCTACTTATCTAGATAAGCAACATACATGATCATTATATATCTGATGCTAGCAGAACCTGTATTACTAGTCATAAATAGTCTTATTTACTCAGAAGACCAGGGACATATCAACAAAGACCAAAGGACTGGTGATAAGCCTGGTTAACAGATACTTTCCACATGCTGTAATTAGAGGGTGAGAGATCACCTGCATACACTCCAGATGACTGCTCCTCAAAGGGAGACTGCAGGACAGTGGTTGATTTGTGGGTCTGAGTACTGGGAGATAAGGAAAGCCATCAAGCTCTTAATTGCGGCAGAGTGTTTAAAGACACTGATTTTGTCTGCCTCACTTTTTGTACACATTTGGATTTACAATTATTTAAAAAGGGGTCTTTCAAGCAACAAGTTATTGCTGTCAGTTTAATTTTAAGTAGAGAAACTATAGTTAGACTGACAGCAATAATTATTTGCTAATGCATTTTTTGAAGAAGATCCTAAGGGGAAAGTAAAAATGAAATAGAGAATAATGTGGAAGAATTTATAGACAAACAGAATGAAGACATAAAAGAAGTTCCAGCTGATTTAGAAACACTGGAATATAAAGCAATTGTGGATTAATAAAACAGAAAATACAATTAAAGTGGAAATACAAACTATAAACCAAGAGATGAAAAATAAATCTGTATGTATATTAATGGGTTTACAAAACAGGATTTTGAGATGGGAGGAAGAAAGTTTGAATGGACTTTCAAGCTTATGACAGCAACCGTTTTGAAATAAAGACTGTTACAACCAGTAAACAAATACATAAATAAAAAGTTGACTTGATCAAGGTTAAACTAAAAAAAATATTAACATAAAATTATGGAAACACTATAGAAAATCATGCTGAATATCAGGAAGACACCACCATTAGCATGAGGAAGATTTTTTTGGAGTATTCACATGATCAACACTTCCGATAACATGAGGTCAGAATAGACATTAGCCTTTCCCAAACTCATCAACAATTAATTCAACTGAATGATTCATTTCTGAAATATTTTACTAGGCTGAAACAAATTACTTTTTTTTCTTTATTGTAAACCAACTGGAAATCTTTTATTTTGTGAAAAGTAAGAAAGTAGTAATCAGGAAGTTTAATATCCTATTAAATCAACAGAACAATTATCGTATCTGTTTTTAAAAAAAATCCACAACATACTGTATGTAAGTTAAGCCTCATTAATACGCATGGAGGAAATATAGATTAACTTTCTTTTTAGAAAATAATATAAATAATGCTTAAAGTTAGATCAATCATGTCCAATACATGAACTACTTGAAGCTGAAATTTGTGGCATATAAATTTAATAAATAAAATAAGCAGTCAAGAAATATTCCACAGACTAGAACTTTGTAGAATAGCCACGAAGACCTTGGAAAAGATACTCTGTTTACACCTACGAAGATCAGAATTGTTCAAGCATTCTTATGGCCTATGACATTCTACAAAAGCGAAAGTTGGACTTTGAAGAAGCAGAAAAGGAGCAGTATTAACACTGATGAACTTTGGTGTTGGACTACCACAGGCAGCCAAGAAAACAAACAAATGAATCATTTAACAAACAAATCACATTCAAATTATCTTACTTCAGACATATTATGTGAAGTCCTAGCTTTTTAGAGAAGGTGGTAACACTTGGAGAGGTGAAAGAAAAGGACAATTAAAGCAAGAATGGTTCTTATAAGTGCCATATGTCATGCAAGGCAAATATACATTATTAACATTATGGTTCAATATACTTCATTAACAATATGGTTTCTAAGAGGATATACCAGTAAATATTTATAAGTACTGCAAATTGATTAAATTATAAAGAAGGGAAATTAGAAACCAAATACCTATCTACTTTTTCAAGCAACTTATATTTTTTCTTCTGCGTTGTCTCTTTTTAATATTTGTAGACAACAAGAATCATAATTACACTGGAAAATTTAGTATTAAATATTAAACTTAAGACATAAATATTACTATATACAAAATTATTTAATTCATATTGCAACTGCCTATCAATGTTACATTCAGCTTTATGGGTAAGCGTAAACAACCATATGCTCATTAACATTTCAGAAAACTTAGTACCGTATTTTCTGGTGTATAAGACAACTTTTTAACACATGAAAATCTTCTCAAAAATCGGGGGTCGTCTTATATGCCGGGTGTTATTCTCCTGTAACCAGGCAGACCAGCCCGAAAGGCTCTGACGAGCCTTAAATGGCTCTGGCGATCCAAGCTCTGACGATCCCAGCTGAGTTGCCTGCTAATCAGGCAACTCAGCTGGGATCGCCAGAGCCATGTAAAAGGAAAAAAGTTTTTTTTCTTTTACATGGCTCTGGCGATCCAAGCTCTGACGATCCCAGCTGAGTTGCCTGCTAATCAGGCAACTCAGCTGGGATCGCCAGAGCCAAGTAAAAGAAAAAAACTTTTTTCCTTTTACATGGCTCTGGCGATCCCAGCTGAGTTGCCTGCTAATCAGGCAACTCAGCTGGGATCGCCAGAGCCATGTAAAAGGAAAAAAGTTTTTCCCCTCCAGCTTGCTTACCTTAGCTGCTAGTAGCAACGCTTGCCTTGCTTCGCTTGCCTGAATCCATTCCATCAGCAAGCCACTCCCTGCCTGCAATCAAGCAGGCAGGGAGTTGTGGATTTCAACTCCCAGAATTCCTCAGCCAGCAAAACAAAGCTGGCTGAGGAATTCTGGGAGTTGAAGTCTACAAGTCTTAAAGTTGCCGAGGTTGGAGACCCCTGTTCTATTGGGTAAGTTTTTTTCCCCTTTGGGAGCTTTAAAAAAAATAGTTAATTGGGGTTTTTTTTAGTTGTTCTTTTTTAGACCTAGCCATTTAAAGTTTAGGAAGTTTTAAATTTAGCTTTCATATAAAAATAAAAATAAAAATAAAATAAAATAATATTTGTGCAGCTTTCTGAGATTTAGTGTGTTTCTGTAGTGTTTCACTCTAACTACACAAACACACAAAATCTCACAAAGCTGTATGAGGAATTTTGTGTGTGTAAAGTGTGAAAGTTGTTTTTTTTGGGCTTTTTGTGGCTGTGTGAGGTTCCTGCTTGTTGCAGGGGCCATTTTGGGTCTAGCACAGCTGCTTTTACACTGTGGGTGAGCCAGTTGATGTTTTTTAATTTTTATTTGGTGTGCGTTGGAAGAGGGGTAGTCTTATACGGCGAGTATAGCCCAAACTCTATATTTTAATAGGAAAAGTTGGGGGTCGTCTTATACGCCCAGTCGTCTTATACGCTGGAAAATACAGTATTAATTTTTTTCCTTATATTTAAAGATTTAAGTCATCCAAATTGTCATAGTGCTAGTTAATACTAGTTAATAATATATAAATACTACTGTACCCAATTAATATAACACAATGCTTACATCTTATAATACAATGAAACAACATTAAAGAAAGTAAGAAGAATGATGATTAGCAGCAAGGTAGATGGACTCAGCTAATCTGATGATGGATATACTGTTGAAAGACCTGAAAGACCAGGTAAGACTTTCTCTTTCTCTGTTACTATCTATATAGTTGCTAAGAGTAGACACTGACCTGATAGTGTAAAATCAATTAATCAATTCATAATTAGTTTCTCTGAATTATAATGGCAATTTGATCCACCAGCCCCTTTATCTAATTAACTAAAGTTGGATATGAATAGAGAAATAGATACTTACCCACAAAGGTTCGAGCAATGGCAAATAAGAACACATTGGTGGATATGCTAAGCACAAAATAACCTAATGCACTGAAGAGGATGCATACAAGTAGGCAATGAGGTCTTCCAACTAGATCACTCCAAGATCCCTGGATAAGAAAACATAAATGTTTTGAGATCAGCATATCTGTTTATTAATCATGTAAGGATGGTATTCAAATTTAGATGTGGGTAGAAGATTCAATGAAATAAATAATAAGCTCCTTATAATTAATTTAAATTCCTCCGACTTATCTAATTCTGAATTCTACTAATTTATTTATTTATAACTTTACCCATATTTTCCCAATAACTTACATCTAAATAGTGATATCTATCATTTGTAAATTTCTAACAGATTTACTAATAATATATTTATTTTATCCTGCTGCTCTTCATAAAGCTAAAGGCGAATTTCTTTTTCTCATCTCTTCCTTGGGACTTGAGGTTTTTTCTTCATTTTACTCACCAAATGTCAGTCCTGTAGGGTAGGTTGGGCTGAAAGAAATGACTGATCCAAAATCACTAAATGAATTTTCAAACCAGAGTTCGACCTGTACATGAGTTTGCCCGTTCCTATTCCCAACATTTTAGCCATTTAGCCACACTGATTTTACAGAGTGAGTGAGTGAAGAAAGAAAGAAAGAAAGAAAGAAAGAAAGAAAGAAAGAAAGAAAGAAAAAAAGAGAAAAAAGAAAGAAAGAACTTGTTGCTTAACAAAGTAAATTACAGGTAGGTCAAAATTAGGGCAAAATTTGATTTACTGCAATGTACAACTAGATACAAGGACCCATTTAATGAAAGCCAAAATTCTGTTACCGTGAGGCTAGCACACATGTGGTTGAGGATACTTCTTGTGCAGTTGCTTTAGAGAGTTTTACTTGTAACTGTTGTTTTTGCAGAATGGAGACAAATATGGACAGATAAAAAAAAGAGGTTCGTGTAAAGGAATTCATGTAGAGGAGATAGTAGGTATACTTTGGATATGGGGTTATCTTCAACACTTATACATTACAGATATAGCAGCAGATAGATACAGCTATGGCTATAGAAAATTAGATTGTGCTGTAGGGATGAACAATTTTTGTTATATAATCTTTGTATTGGAGTAAAGGATATGTGTACTTTTTAAAAGCTAAATATTGGCTTACAGAAAGGCTGGGACAAAACAATGAGAGACAGTCACTATTTGCAGGAAGTACATAATATTATTTAATAGAAATAAAGTTTTCTTGAACTGACTCAATTTCTTGTGATTTCATGAATAGATCCCTATAGTTTTCTTGACAATATACAAAAAAATGCTATGGCATTCTATTTGTCAAAGCCTCACCCCACTAACTATGAGGGATAATTTTCAATTCAAATGAAAAAAGGCAGAGACAACTAAAATCTCATTCATCGGCTTCTATCTAGGTTGTCTATTCATTATTCGATATGACCAAGACAAAGCTCTTATTAAACAGTATACAGCAGACACTGAGCACTAACTGGACGCAGTCAGCTTCCAATCCTTATGCCAGTGAATTCAATGCGTACCCTGCTACTGCCATTATATACTTAATACATCTCAAAGCATATAGCCACCAGTCAGCTTTCACTCATGACCTTCTCTCAGTGGACCTTGAAGGTCAATACAGGAAAATTTCCTACCCAATGAGGCAATGTTGCTGTGATTCTGAATATACAGAAAGAACAGGGCATATGCTCCTCCAGTGCCTGTACTAGAGACATTCATGCTAACTTCATCTCACCAATACTATATAAATACCCAGGATACATAGGATAAATTTTAGCTTTAAAATATTGTCTGAATTTCATCTTTATTATGTTGATATGCAATCATAATAAAGATTGGATTGGATTTGAAGTTAAATAGCTTTATAAAAGGTATTTTATAGGTACCAGCTCTAGTATTCTCAGTTGATCTCTTTTCCAAGCACTAATAGCCCAATTGTTATTTGATGTTTAAGGACATACAAGCTTGGTCAAGTGCAATCCTTGCAACATTGCCTATGGAATAGCTTTAAAACAGAAGTAAGGTTAGTTCAACCATATTTGGGATAATTTATCCAACAACAGCATGACAATACACAAAGTTGGCTTGGATTTGCGTTTTTAAAGTGTGATGCTTTTTTAAATCAATGCTTTCAGTTTCAAAACTATAAAATATATTTAAAATAACATAAATCTATACAAATATTTTTAAAAGAAAGGTCTGTGAGAGACAAACCCAGTTTATTGCAGTGACAATTCAAAGCAAGAACGTATTTTAAACACAACATTCTCTTTCCAAACTTTGAAAAAAGCAACCAGTAGTTATTTATGAATTAAGAATTTAAACTTACCACTAAGGTGCTGGAAAAGAGTTGTAGTATTCCATATAAAGATCCTAAAAGAAAAAATAGTGAAATAAAAATATATAGATGATCATTCTGCAATAGATTTTCAGTAGGAAGAAAAGAAATTATTCTTGACATCACTGGTAATATTTTTGGTAAGATACATTTCTTAAAACCAATTTTTTGGAACAAATGATTCAATAACTTCATGTGAAAGGAAGAATAAAGAAGTGGCATATATAACTCACAAGGAAAAAAAAAAGAATATGCACCAATATCCATTGCCATGGGGTTTTTTTAATGGCAGAAAACATGCCAAGGCACTGCTGCAGACTGAGATGGGTCTACTATTGTGAAAGGTTTGATTTTATGAACTGATTAACTTTTTTATGTAGATAAAGACATTGGAGTTTGTACTGTTTCTGCTGAAAAAAGATAACAAGTAATGTAACCACTAAAACTGGGAAAACCACTCTGCCCAGCAATTTGTATTAAAGGATATCAAACATTCAAATGATTTAGTTTCTAAATGCCTCCCAACAAAGTTGGTTGTCCAAGTGTCTTCCCTGAATACTCAGTTATAAAAAGTAAAGAGTCCCCATAGATTTTACTCCAGTAGTCGTTGCCAACTACTGGTAACAGGGGGCGGTGCTCATCTCAGTTTCAAGGCCATTGGGCCAGCACTGCCCAAAAACATGACTGGCATGATGTCATGGAGTGGATGGTTACCTCCCCACAAAGTGGTATAACTGAAAAGTCACTTATAATAATTGTATATTTCACACATCAGTAGTCCTTCAAAATTTTTAGTCAAATGAGGAAGCTCTGATTTTAATTTATGAAATAACAGAATGACAGAGTTGGAAGGGAACTTAGAGATCTTCTAGTCCAACCTCCTCATCAGGTGGGAAACCCTATACCATTTCAGACAAATGGTTGTTCAATCTCTTCTTAAAAACTTCCAGTGTTGGAGTATTCACAACTTCTGAAGGCAAGTTGTTCCATTGATTAATTGTTCTAAATGCCAGGAAATTTCTCCTTAGTTCTAGTTGCTTCTCTCCTTGATAAGTTTCCATCCATTGTCCTGCCCTCAGATGCTTTGGAGAATAGGTTGACTCCCTCTTCTTTGTAGCAACCCCTTAGATATTGGAACACTGCTATTATGCCATCCCTAGTCCTTCTTTTCATTAAACTAGACATACCCCAATTCCAGCAACCATTCTTTATGTTTTAGCCTTCAGTCCCCTAATCATATTTGTTGCTCTTCTCTGCACTCTTTCGAGACTTTCAACATCTTCTTTATATTGTGGCAACCAAAACTGGATGCAATATTCCAATGCATTAGAGTGTGGTATTAACACTTCAGGTGATCTTGATCCTATCCCTCTGTTAATGTAGCCTAATGTAGCATTGGTTGTTTTGGCAGCTGCAGCACACTGCTGGCTCATATTTAAGTGATTGTCCACTAGGACTCCAAGATTCCTCTCACAGTTACTATTATTGAGCCAGGTACCACCTATACTATACCTGTGCATTTGGTTTTTCTTGCCTAAATGTGGAACCTTACTTTTTTTACCACTGAATTTCATTTGGTGAAAAAAGTAAGGTTCTACAGAAGTAACATTTGCTAAATTATACCCCATGTAAGCTTTTGTTTTCAAGAAAAGTCTTTATTAAGAGTAAGGTTGTAACCACAGGTAATTACATATCTTGCTATAAAATACAATAAAATAATAGTAAGTTACAACAATAAACATACTATGCCACCTAGGGGCTTATCCCGAAAAATGACTTGCTTCTAATAGCTGCCTAAGAAAAATGGCCTGCTTACCTACCACTCCTGCAATTGTTGAACTCACTCCTAAAGATTTCACATGAAGATTTAACAAGGGAACAACCATACTGACACCAAAGAAATCCTGGAAATAGACAACAAAGATTTTTTTTAAAAAAAAAAATAAGTGTAGAATATTAACATTTGCTAATAACAAACCATTGATAGGTATTTTAACTGTATTTTATCACTACTGTGTAACAATAATTCCTGAATAGAAAGACAAGAATTTGTCTTTTCTGTAGTATTCAACAGAAAGGAGTAATATTTGCTTACAATGCTTTTTTTCCTTTTCTTTTCAAAAAATCAAGTTCAAAATATTTCCAGACTTAAATTTTCAACCAAGCTTACCGAAGATTATTGGGTTGTTGTATTGAATATAAAATTACACGTCTTCATGAGCCTTTCTGAAAACTACATACACTAATCCTACCAAATCATAACCAGCATATTGTAATAGTTTGCATTACTATGCATTATGCATTCAGTTACCTTCCTTAACCATGATGTACATCTCCATATTCTACCCAAGTAGGTACAAACAAAAAAGTTGTAAACTAGCAGCTGAAAGCTAAACCATGTAAGAGGGCAGATATTGCAGATATTGAACTTTAAAAAATTAAAGGCACAATGCAAAAATCAGACATAGATCTGAGGAATACCGATCACTTGTAGAAGACATCTTAAGGCTAGAATTTTAGATTCATGTATGTGACAGAGAAGATATTTTTCTGATTAAAATGTTCCAGAATGCTAGTTGAGTACAAACTAGTTTCTTGTGGAATAAGGCAAAATAAATGATTGCAGCTCTAGAAGTGTGAACCAAGTGTGAACCACATAGCAAGAGCTATGATCCTCTGATGATTACATGCACATTCCTTTCAATTTCCTATTGTTGATTTACTCCATATTCAACATGGGACTGGAAATGCTGCCATAATTTTCATTCTGTGAAACATTTAGCCTTTAACCCACAAAATATCATAAAATTAATCTGAGTGTAAATTTTGTGTGCGGCAACCCTTTTTTGACTCAGAGTAACCTATATACTAGTAATCATAAGCAGTTTTTTTTTTTTACTTGACGAGAGCATGGTAGTATGACAGAGAAAAACAATGGGTTTTTTTTTTCAGTGTAGAAGAATAGAAAATGTATTAGAATACAGTTTGGGGAAATTTTGGAAAGCAAAACAAGGAGATATTAGATATTTCTGCCCTGCATTGAGTTATCATGATTGAAAACCACTTAAAGATGTCCAAGGAAACCAACACTCCTTTAAACAACAGTATACTTTCTTAAGACGTTCCTATTTCATCAAGCTGGCCTGACCTAAATTTTTTCTCTTTTTAAATGGAAATTTTAAATTTGGTTTTAATTTATTGGGGTTTTAAAATGGTTCAGCCAAATTTATTTAATTAGTTTTATCTCTATTTTAAATTTTGTATCTATATGTTTTATTTTATGGCTGTTCACTGCCCTGAGTCCTTCGGGAGTAGGGCGGTATACAAATTTAATAAAATGAAAATGAAAATGAAAAGCAGGACAGCTGGTATTAACTATTTAGAGATGGAAAGTCTCTGGATATGGAGGCTTTCTTTAACTAAGATACTCAAGAGCAGACTGGGTGGGTGGTATAAAAATGAAGGCAAATGAATAAGTAGTGACCAAAATGAAAATGCTTTCTGAGGACCAGATCATATGATATTCTTATTTGTCCTATTCATTGGATGGAGGATCAGAAATCACTGAATTCAGCAATAGTTTTTCTTGCAGGGGAGATGGCTGGCATAAAAAAAAAACAAAAAACGTATGAGTAAACTGTGCCTCTTATCTGCATATAAATTACCACTTAAAAATAGTTCCAGGTAAACATGATTAAGGCTGTGCCCTCATCAATGAAAATATGTCAGCAAAAAAACCGGACCTTTCTCTGCAAAAAAACCAAGCACGCGACCTAACTTCCAATTGTCAAAATGACTCTACTCTCTCCCTCCCTCCGCAATCCTCGATCAATTTGTTCCTTTCGGAAATTTGCTTGGCTCCAAAGGACCGCAGGCTTCCTCTGAGCACGTGCAGAGTTGGAAGACTCCGCTACCCTTCAGGGCTGAAGGCGGAAAAAGTCGCCCCGAGGCAAGGGCCGAGTGACAGGAAGGTCCCACAGGCTCAGCCCGAGCTTTACAAGCCGCTGCGATAACCGCGCAGCAGCCTCGCCAGCTCACCAGAAAGCCCACGGCGTAAAGACAAAGCAAGAATCGGTTGGGCCAAACAGCCCTGCCTCGGATTAACGACGACAACGACGCCGCCACCGCCACCGCCTGGGGCCTTTCCACCTCCTCCAGAAAAGGGCTAAGCGGGTCGTTCCTGCCGCCTCCATTCTCCATGCGTCGCGGGGCGAAGGGGAGGAGGTGAAAAAAAAAAAAAAACCCGCCGCAGCCCGGCACGCCCTGAGCAGGTAGGTGGGCAACCGGGCGACCGAAGGAGAGAGAAGCGAAAGGCAGCCGCGGGCCACCTTTGCTGCGTAGGCAGATGACGGGGATGTGGGGCGGGGCGAGGCGAGGCAGGCAGTGCAGTCGCAACTACAGCAACAAGAAAAGGGAGACAGTTTTCTTTCGGCCGGCGCCGTTTTGGGTTGCTCAGGTTGGGAAGCCTCCTTGGCCGCCTTGTGCTCTTCTGGAGGCTGGATAATCATCAGAAATACTGTTTGTCGAGGTCTGGGAGGCCGCTGGTCTAGGGGAACAATCCACGTCGCTAAACAAACAAACAAACACCTCAAAAACACAATCCACGTTGCGTCTGTTTTAGGGGAGGAGGTTCAATTCAGTTAAAAGACTGAAATGAAGCACTCCAAGCTGACAGCATTGCTCCCAATGACATTCGGCTCCAGATCAGATGGGGCTTTTTTTTTCTTTCGCATGAAGGACGAAGACGAGCGAACGAAAAATATAAAACAAAACCAAGCCTTGCTCCAAAGAGGTAGCGGTCCGAGGAAAATAAGAGGCGTACCCGGCATCCAGCACCGGGGGATGGCCGCTTCAGCATCTGTCGGAGGCTGGAGGCTCTTTTTTTTTTTTTTCCCCCGTTCGCTCCGTGTTCCTTCTTCATGCAAAAAAGAAGAAGAAAAAAAGAAAAAAGCCCGATATGATCTGGAGCCGAATGTCATTGAAAGCAATGCTGTCAGCCTGGAGCGTTTCATTTCAGTCTTTTAACTGGGCGATGAATTGAACCTCCTCCTCTAAAACAGATGCAATGTGGATTATGTTTGTTTGTTTTAGCGACGTGGATTGTTCCGCTAGGCCAGGGGTCTCCAACCTTGGCAACTTTTAAGAGTTGTGGACTTCAACTCCCAGAGTTCCTCAGCCAGCTTTGCTTTGCTTTGCTGGCTGAGGAATTCTGGGAGTTGAAGTCCACAAGTCTTAAAAGTTGCCAAGGTTGGAGACTCCTGCCCTAGGACATTTTAGGAGCAAAGTCAGGGGTGAAATCCAGCAGGTCTGACAGGTTCTGGAAAACCGATAGCAGAAATTTTGAGCAGTTCAGAGAACCGGCAAATATTACCTCTGGCTGGCCCCATAATGGGGTGGGAAAGGAGGTTTTGCAATATCCTTCCCCCAGGAGTGGGGAAGGAATGGGGATTTTGCAGTATCCTCTCCCTGGAGTGGGATGGAAATGGAGATTTTACAGTATTCTTCCCCTGGAATGGGGTGGGAATGGAGATTTTGCAGTATCCTTCCCCTGCCACACCCAACAAGCCATTCCACGCCCACCAAGCCACACCCACAGGTAGTAAAAAAAATTGGATTTCACCACTCAGCAAAGTGGTGGGTTTTGCTGGGGTTTCATATTCAGCAGTGCTACCTGCAAGATGCTCTTACTGAAGGTTTTAAATTTTGGGAGGCTCGAGATGGAGAAATCGGGCCAAATAACTGCACACTATTATTCTGTAGGGTCTAAAAAAATGTGGTAATAGTGTTTCATAATATGCCAACAATAAAAGATAAAGTAAGGTAATTAGATGAAGGCAGCAAAAAAAAAATTATGACTGTTTCAGGATAAAATAAAATATATGTCTAAAGAGCAGAGTATCTATGGAGATTCTCAGTCATCCAGGTCATGATTGTCCCAAAAATGCTTTCAGTTTTCAGAACTGAAGAAGCTTCTGTGAAACATCTTCAAAGATATAAAGAGCAGATTATATTCAGTGTTTAAATATAAGTGAAGGTTTTGATCTGCAAAGCAAAGTCTTATGAGCAAAGTCAGGCTGTTAGAAGTCTTAAGATGCAGATTGTGGGAAATTTCTGTTCTCCCTCCTTCCTTCTCTTTCAGGCCTATTTGAAAGCACTGTCCTTCATTCAGTGACTATTTTAGATTATTTTTTTTAAAGAAAAACTCTACTTAAAATTAACCTTCATGAACATGCAACTCACAGATCAGTAAATCAATTTTTTATTACAGCCCCAGACTAGTATAAGAAGGGTGGGCTGTAAACAGTTTTAAAAGCTAAAAAATAAAAAATACACAAAGTTAAAAACATTTTAAAAAGCCATGCCCATCCAGTCACATGACCACCAAGCCACACCCACCAAGCAAGCCACGCCCACAGAACCAGTAGTAAAAAAAATTGAAACCCACTACTGTCTTGAATGCCTCTTCAAGGCATTTTGCAAGGAGAGAGAATGAGAACAATGCATTCAATGTGTTCATTCATTCAGGTTTTCAAAACAAAGGAAGTCCTTCAGGTGGAATTAGTATTACAGGTTGTCCTTGATTTACAACAGTTCGCTTAGTGACTGTTGAAAGTTACAACGGCACTGAAAAAAGTGATTTATGACCGTTTTTCATATGATCCTTGCAGCTTCCTCATAGTCATGTGATCAAAATTTGGATGCTTGACAACTGACTCATATTTATGACAGTTGCAGTGTCCCGGGATCATGTGATCATCTTTTGTGACCTTCTTGCAAGCAAATGTGGAAGCCAGATTCATTTAACTTAATAAGGTACTAACTGATTAACTTCAGTGATTCACTTAACAACTATGGCATGAAAGGTCGTAAAATGGGGCAAAATTCACTTAATAAATCTTTCACTAAGCAATGTGGTCATATGTCAAGGATTACCTGCATAGGATTTAGATGCAGCTGGATGGGACCTATGTTTACAAGCAGAGTCCATATTTCAATGCCATTGATTCAATGGAATTTAAACACCTGATAAAAGCATGGAACTAAAGCAGTCTCGGTGCATACTTGAATAAAGCATCAGCCTCTGGATTTCTGGTTGCTATTTAGGGGTGAGTTGTCTTAGACTTTTTGAAGCTCAACTATAATGCAGTAGCTGAAGGCAAAACAAAAAATTCACAACAAGGCTCTGTGATAGGATACAGTAGTATCCTTGTTGTATTGCTAAATAGTTTCAGAGGCCTGGATTTTAGAGATGTAATTCACATCACTAAATGATACAGGGATGGGAAGGAAGTAATTTAAACCTGGGACAGGAAATTAAATGATCTATTGCAGTGATGGCGAACATTTTTGGCACCGAGTGCCCAAACCGGAACGTGCATGCATGCCTGCACACTGGAGCACCAGAAACCCGAAGACCAGCTGGTCGGCGCGCATGTGTGCACCAGCCAGCTGGTCTTTGAGTTTCCAGCATGCGCCCCGGCCAGCTGGTCTTTGCGTGTGCTGGAGCACCGGAAACCCGAAGACCAGCTGGCTGGAAAACACATGTCTGTTTTTTGGCTGGTTTTGGCTGGTTTTTTTGGCTGTTTTCAGGCTGTTTTCTGGTGCTCTGATGCCCACGAAGACCAGCTTGCTGGCGTGCATGTGCATGCCGGAAACTAGAAGAGCAACTGGCGACGGCGTGCGTGCCCACAGAGAGAGCTCTGTGTGCCACCTCTGGCACACGTGCCATAGGTTCGCCATAGGTTCGCCATCACGGATCTATTGTATGATGCAGAATTTAAATAAAGGGAAAGGGAAAATCAAAATCATACACATCATAGATATTTCCTAAGTTGCTGTGATTTCCCTAGGATATGATCCTGCTTTAAAACATTACTCAAAGTTCTGATTTCAAGATATGGTTTGTTTGTTTCAGAAGCATCACAAGCATACTATATGACATAAAATTAAAAATATAAAAGGATAGGCTAAAAGAAATAAAAACTCAAATATGGACAGAAATGTTAACTTGCAGTTGCTCAACATCAGACTACCGGGAAAGCATAATTAACCCCACATCTTAACCCCTACAGCATCTTAGCGAAATGATCTGGCAATACAAAACAGGAAACTCAACTAGTCTGTCCACATTATGTTTAGTACTGTAGTTATTACTCTGCTCTATCTGAACCTTATAACAGTAACCCACGCCTTCATTACAACTCACTAAAGGTAGTATGTGCTCTATGGGCTGCCTTTGAGGAGCACTTAAAAGCTGCAATGAATACAAATACAATTGCCTATTACCTGGAATTAAATCTGGCTGTGAATTCAGATTGTTGTTTGAGGGAGTTTTTTCTTGTTTTAAGTTGTTCAATCTCTTTTGGATTTGTTAATTATGCTTGATGTAGAGTGTTATGAGACCAAATAGATCTGGCAGTGTACAAATCTTAAATTAATACATCAAGGGATCTTCTAAGGATACGTATGTCTTTTAAAAGAGCCTGTTTGGTCTAGTGGTTAAGATACCAGGCTAGAAAGCAGGTGACTATGATTTTTATTCCCATCGTAGCCATGAAATTCAGCTGGGTAACCTTGGGACAGTCACTGTCTCTCAATACAACCCATTGCACAGGATTGTTGCTGTGGGGAAAATAAGAGAAAGAAGGAGTGTTGGATATGTTCACCGCCTTGAGTTAGTGTAAAAATAATAAAGGATATATAAATAAATATATGTCTATTAGACCAATCCTTTTATATGTAGATTTAGAAGTAATGTTGTTACATACAATTTTTTTCCAAATAGTTTAAAATTAATTTCTCCACCAAGTAACAGGCTATATTGTATGCTGTATACAGGAATATGACTACTCCTCTTTCTATACTCACTTGAATGCATAGTAACCCTTGAGATAATCTAAGTCAAGCTAATTTACACTTGTAGTATTAATATTATTTCTATTCTGTTCTGTTCTGTTTTATTCTGCTCTGCTAATAGAATAGAATAGAATAGAACAGAACAGAACAGAACAGAATAGAAATAAGACTAGGACTAGGACTACAGTAGGACTGAAACAGAACAGGATATTCTAATGTGTGCATTTTTACATCCAAGTCAAATATACTTGTCACAATGCTGATTTTGCCAGCTCATCTTCTGTGATTAACTGGTCTATCTACATTAGGTGTAGTTTGGATAATGTAATCCATCTACCGTATAAAGTCCTAAAATTCTCATTGTCATGTTCTTTAACTGGGAAAAAATGGTGCATCAAAGGCAACAATTTTTGAATCTCAAATGGCTAATTTACAGAAAGTGTCCAAAATCCAGGACCCATGACTCTTGAAGGAATGAAATGTAGGAAAATTATGCCTGCTTCAATATTATTGGCTGCTGCTGCTGTGGTCATGTGATTCTCATTTTCAACCTTCCTTGACTTTTCCCAGTCAATCTCACAAGCCTTTGCTCCCTATCCCACCCAACAGCAGCCACTTACCTGCCTGTGGGAAAGGCGAGGGAGAGAGAGAGATGGGGGATACTGAAAACATTTTTTTAATAAAAAGTGAACATTCAAAGAGTTTTCCCTTACTCAATAGAATTTTGTGAAGCTTGAATGAATAATGATAATACTAGTAATATTCTTAACCAGTATTGAATATTTTTACAAATATTCTTGTAAACATTATAAAAATTATAAGAAATCTTCCTTATGAGGAATGTATTCTGTCCTATATTAAAACTGAAGACAAAGTAGATGGCCCTAAACATTCTTTGTGTATTATAGCCATGACTTCTCAATTGTATAAAAGGAAAAAAAAAAGAATCAACATATAAGGGAAATACTGTAATAATTTATTCAGTATTTCAATGGACCTTTAAAAAAAAAATACAGCATTTTTGTAGACGTAGGGAAAACAGCAAAACAATAATGGAAAACTGCATATCATATACCAAACTAAATCCAATAAGAGTAAAAATAAATTAAAACCAGAAATGGTCTTAATCTAGTAAATTCTATATTATAAATGTGAATCTTAGAAGATTTTATCTTTATAAGTAGAATGGATAATTGTTTCCATAAGACTGGCAGCTAAAGCTCTAGGGTGGATTTTTCACAATGAAGCATAAGGGCTTAATTTTAATCTAAGAGATTCCACCATGAGATTTTCCGTTAATTTTCATGGAGTAGGTGGCATAGATGTTGTCCATTTCATAAGTAAATTGTTCAGTTTTGAAATAAATAATTTTAATATAAAAAATTGATTTAAAAAAACCTCTTACAGTAGCTTCTTAGTTCCATGCAGTTCTAGTTGCAGTTATATTTTCAGACAGAAAAGAAGTGTCTAAAGGATTCAAATGCTCATAAACGCCACGTAGAAACTTTGCTATCTTCTATGGCATTGACAGTGCCAGAGGTTCTTCTATTAGAACATTATATGTGTTTATTTAGATGAGACTAAGTAATGTATATGATTTATAATCTACTTCTGTTTCCCAAAAATAGCTCAAGAAATCTTACAACATTTTAAAAAAATAAGTATGATCTAGTAGAGGATTTTTAAAAAATAAATGTAAGAGATGACATAAGTAGAAGAGGCACTGTTGTGGGATACTATGAAACCATGCATTAGAGTGAAAATTGCTACCCCAGAATACTCAATATTTATTGAGTATTTATATATTCTTGGAATTTACTCTTGGAACACATATTTTTGGTCAATGTATATATTTGACTAATCGACTTTTTTAAGGATATTCTTGTCTCATAACCGATGTTGTGGGTTATTGAGCAGAGCACCCTTTGAGTTTATGCACGAAAGCAACAATGATTGTGGATAATAACAGTTCACATACAAACAAACTGGGTTTCGATAATATTTTACTTTTAGGGAAAAAGCAAAATCATAGTCTAAAAAACATTCCAAGTCATACACATATAAAGTGAGATAAAGATCAGTCCAGGGATATTTTCCAATATAAAGTCTTCTTACCACTTGTAGAAAAATACAATAAAACAGATCTTCTTTAGTTTCATTCAGGAACACAGTTCAATATAAAAACAGTCAATAAATATTAGAAAAGCAATAAATAGCCATGATCAAGCAATGATCATGCAGAGAGATCAAATATAGAGTTAAAGCATATCAGCAGGTAAAATGGTGTAGGGTCCACACACATCATAATTCAGCTCTCCTTAAGTACATTGCCTACAGAGCTCAGCCAATCAGGATGCAGGATGATGCAACACAGTTTTTAAAACTACATAATACTTTTAGCTATAAACACACAATGTTGGTTTATATATTTCCTGACCAACCAGTTGGGTAATAACAATTTCCTAACAGACTTTTTCCAATTTCATCTGTCTGTCCCAACAAATTTTACATAATGGCTAGGTTACGGATTTCATTTTTGAGGGAACTACATTTGGTGGGTCTTGCCAGTGGGCCTTTTCTGTTGTGGTGTACACATTGTGGAATCTTCTCCCAACAGAATAAGGTTGGCCTGCTGAGTTTCCACAGCTCCCTCAAGACGTGGTTATTCCAGTAGGCCTGGGAACCCCAGGAGATGTGTGAACATTATTAATATTCCTCCATTTATTATTCTCTTTTAGTTCTGTTTTTATAATCTCTAATTCTTTTTAATTATTATATAATGGTTTTAACTAATGAATGTATTATTTTTTTACTGTTTTTACAGTAAAAAACACGGCGCAAAGTAACTTTCCATGAGATATATCATCATATATGTTTGATAGGTAGGTAGATAGGTAGGTAGATAGATGATAGATAGATAGATAGATAGATAGATAGATAGATAGATAGATAGATAGATAAGTTACTGTATATAGAAAGAAAAGTTGCTGTATATAGTCACATTTTTAACCAAAATACCATGAAAAATGTGCTACCCATGAATAAACTAACCTTCAAAATGTTTAGATATTTTAATTTTCCCAGTTGATTTATCTGTGGCAATCCATACATTATCCATTTTTATAGTTAAAAATTCAAGGGTCAGCTTATTTGTGGATGGGCTTCTCTGTGAGTATATATGGAATATGTGGGTACTTTAAATAGTATTACCAAATATAACCCTGGATAAGCCCATCTTTGGATAAGCTGAAGCGGGTGCATTTTGATGCCAAATTTTTTGTCTTATTTGTAAATCTATATGATAGTTGTTCTCAAAAAGCTAAGCAAATTCAGTTCGGATTTGTAGCTGAGGGTGAGCATAACAGAATCTCAAGGTTTCAGGCTAGATTGGAAAGCAAAACAAAACAAAATCCAAACCTCCTCTCAAAAGAGTAGACATTTTCATACCCTTGCCATGAAAACTATATTGATATGTTTATAAAGGCCTCGGGACTTGAGGTTGACTTGAAAGAACCTTTTTTTTTAAAAAATGCAATTTTAAAAACTCACTTTGCAACAACCTTCCCAAATAATAACTAAATTAACATTTTAAAGTAAGTTTATAACCATTCTTTCTGTATATCATTTTGCAAACTGGTGAAATTGTAAAAAAAAAAAACCTTGAATATTGAAATATAAAAACCTTTATATTTTTAAAAAACAAAATTGGTTTTGTCCTAAGTCAGGAATGCACAGCAGTTTCCAATTATATGTACCAGTCTTGACATCTGTCAGTCTCTCTGTCCACCAACTTCTAGCATAATTTTTATTTGCAAGAATGCCTTGCCCTTTCATAGACTCCCTTGCTTTGTATAGAATGTACTTAACCTGTACAGAAAAAAAAAAAGAAAGTTAAATGAAAAGGAAAGGGGAGTCAAAACATGTTAGAACAGAAGTGTTGACAAGAAACTTGCTTACCATAGTAGCTGTGTTATGATCAGACTAATGATATGCCGTCAAAACTGCAAATTATTCCTATGTCTCAAAAAAACTTATCTAATTGTGTACTTCTGTGTTGAATTAGTTCAACAAATTCATTTAGATCAGGTTTCTCCAAAGAGGTCAATATTGACTTCTAATGGTCAATGAGACTGTTTACTATTCTTGTATTATTTTACTAATTAAAGTAGTATTTATTAAATCATTTTTATGTAAGGTGTTTGAAGTTTGATGAACAATATGAAACTTCATGAAGGAGTCATTGACCTAAGAATCTAGTGACAGATTCCCCTGGTTTAAACAGATCACTATGTGCTAAGAGAGGGAGGGAGGCATGCAGGGAGACTGGTGTGCAGATGTCCAGCTACCATACAGAAAAGCTGTACAGCTGAATAAAATCTTATCTCTTTGGCAATGCAAACCCAGATATCACCATCCTAATCTCACATATTTTGTAGGTATGCAGAGTAAAATTTCCAGAATCCCAAGACAACCAAACCATCAATGATGCAGATTTGTTCTTCTGGGATATGTATTCCCAGAGCATCTGGATGGCATCAGGATGCAGAAAACATCTGTTTATATTTGAAATTGAAAAATAATAGTAGAGCCTGTTCTCTAAAAGCATAGTTGTGTTACTTGGCTGCCCCTAGAAATCACCTTCTCTATTCCCAAATCTCATTAAAGCATACAAAGCAGGACCTTCTATATTTCTGCTTTCTTGTGAATATAATAACATATTAGATGCTGAAATCTTGCCTGCAGAGATGTGGTTTTAATTCTGAATTTGAGATAGACATATATGCTCTCATTTAAAGACCACTAAAAAAAGCAAGTGGGTGCCACATTTCAGCTTTAAATGTCTTGATTGCTGCCTTAGAATGAGATAGTCAATCAGTCAATGAAGCTCAAGTGTTTTTATCTGTCTGATGATATGCTTCAATGTGCCTGCATATCTGCAACTTAATTTGCACTGTACTTTGTAAGTTTGCCTGTGATAGAGAAAATCTATTCCTTGCCTCCTTATAGGAAGAAGATAAATTGATTGTAGGGTATATGTATATATCTATATATATAGCTACTGCTTGTCAGCATTGGATATTGAAATCCAACCTAGGCAGAATAATAAGGGGACAGTAATTTCATCCGTCTTCTTCATATGTGGATGCACCATGTGCAATAATAATTCAAGCCAATAGCTAGCTATGGGAAGGTCAGCTATTTTTGGCTGGTCACGCCAGCTAAGGAAAACACTGTAAAGTTGTTTCAGGGAGTGTCCCAAAATAGAAGTCTATCTTCATTTGTTAGGCTGCAGTTTAATTGAACACAAATCCAAGCCATAGTATAAGCAACAAAATTCTTAACTAAATTTATCTAAGGAGACATTTCTCCCCCAGCACTCTAAAATATATATTTTAGATTTATCAGTTATTTCTAAAGAACAAATCAGCAATGAAGTTGAGTGTTGGAATATTTTTTGGAGGCTTCTTTGGAGCTCTTGGGATTTTGTTTTTTCTGGTTGCTTTTGGGACAGACTATTGGCTTCTGGCTACAGAAGTTGGGAGGTGTTCTGAAGATGTGAATCGCACTAGGGTTAGTATACTTTTTATTTCTAGGAATAATCTCTTGCAGTGATATCAGAGATGTGTCTGTTTTGTTCTTGTTTAAAAAACCATTGAATGCATAAGGAACATTTTGGTTTTAATATTAACTTCATCCAGTAATGTTCAGGAGGTTACTTTCTCTTATTTCTATTTCGGTCATACTAGAAATTAGCTGGATGTTATGGAGTTATGAGCAATCCACCATAAAACATAGAACATGAATTCATACAAATGTACGATAAGTTCTTAGTTTCTTTTGTGCAGGAAGAGACGATTATGTTCCACCATGAAGGTTTCTTCTGGAGATGCTGGTTTGATGGGAAGATTGATGAAAATCCCAGCAGTATGTTGAAGTTTTGGTACAGTAAGTAATCTAGTTTTGACCTAATATGCAAAACACTTGTTTACATTTTTAAAATTGTCTGCTTTAATAAGTTCTATCTGTAGAAGGAAACCTTTCTGTGTGGCAAAATGGATCTTCATGAGCATTTTCATCTCTCTGCTGCATTTTTCTGTGATACTTTCAAAATCTGTTCTAGAGGACTTCCCAATCTTCTGCATCAGATATCTGTTTGTTATGGATATTATTCTGCTGGACAGAAGTCAAAGAAGACTCCCAGTACCCCATTTCTTTAAGCTGTTTCATATTCAAAGTATTCAATAGAGATTCAGTTCAAGCACAAGAATGCAATGGTTTGCAACATTCCAACAGAACAATCCAGTAAAAAACCAACATGTTTTGTTCTAGCAGGATGACCCTTTATGCAAACATAAAAGCCATAATCTTAGATTTGCAGAAATGTGACCAAAATGAAACCAGGACACTTCTGCACATGCCTGCATAAATGCATTCTGCAAATATTTCTAGCAAGGCTTCACATAGTGATATAAGCAAGATTGAATAGCAACTTCATGTTTGTGCTAGTGCAAAAGCCGCACAAGTTCTTGAATGAAATGGAAGAACTTATTTCAATGTGTTTTCTGTTTTCTCATGCACTGTTCTAGAGCAAGGTGTTTGGTAAGTGACAGAACCTTTCTATATAAATACCTGTGTACACTTGCACAGAAGCCAACTCACTGAGCATTGGGTATTCCTAAGCATTATACATTGAGAACTAGAGAAACATAAAATTATGGTTACACACTGTTTTAATAATTTGGGAATTATACTAACTCTATCTTTCACAGAAGTTCCTCTTAAATATTTAAAGTATTTATGGAAATAAGTGTAGCCCATCTTTCCATAAAAAATCTAATTGCTGTCTGTAGGACCATAATTCAAAAAATAATTCATCAATAAAAGCTCTAAACTATAGCAAAGTTTTAGCTAATATCAAAAAGCCCCCCACCAATCACTAATGTCTCAAATCTCTTTTTTCCTCTATCCATCCACCCCTCCATGTCAGGCCATTCAAAAGCATCCTCCTTTTTCCATGCTACTCTCCAGATACCAAATGGGAGGCAGTGAAAGTCATTAAGTGCCATATTAGGATTCTAATAGAACAAAGTTAGATGGAGACTTGTCTACTGAATGATCTTTGGATGATAGAACATTGGAATTTCAAAAGTGTTATGGAATATACTGGTAGTTTGAAAGAGTAGAGAGACTGAAGAACTTGAGAAGAAAAAGAAAGGATGTTTATGTATTTCTTACACTTTCCTTATAAGGATCTTCCATAATATAGGCATCTGGGAATCAGGAAAAGTCAATGAATGATTTTTGTTTGTTTGTTTGTCTTCAAAATTTAAATATAAGTGCTAAATGAAATGCTAATTGGAAATAATTGGCAAGTATATATATATCACTGGGAAATGTCTTGAATTCTCTAGGGAAGTCCTTTACTGCTTCTGTTTCACTCTGTTTCAATTCAGAATGAATCAAGCAATATTATTACTGCTACTTCCAGAGTAGTGTTTTTCTACAATTACCTTTAGCTAGTCCAGATCATGTAACATATTTTTAATTTTTATTTTTAAATGTATATGCTACCTGACTCCTAGAGAGTGTGTGATTTGAGCCCTACAAGAACGATTCCATTAAAAGCTAAATGTAATATTTTCTCTCTCTCCCACACATAATTCAGAATTTTAGATCTTAAACATACAGGGCCAATTATTCATCCACCTAGCATAAGAATTCTAAAATTCGGAAAATTGACATGTATAGAAATGCAAGAGAATAATTCAGCCTTTGTTACTTTTTTTCAGCGAACCAGTCACCTTCTAAAAACTGCACCCATGCTTATCTCTCTCCATTTCCTTTCTTAAGAGATTCCCATAACTCAACAACCTATAATTCTGCAATTAGTAAGTATTCTTTGATGCAATTATCATATTAGGGCTTTGGAATTTGTTCAAGTTCAATTCCAGAACTGCTGTTCAGAAAGCATAGCAGTAGCAATTGCTTTAAGAATTATAGGCAGATCACCACTTCTGCCATCAAAGCCCATTTTGGAATTGAATCCACAGTGTTGCATTGCCTTGGGAAGTTGTTTCTTGTGTGAGTAGACCCTCTACAGTCATAACTCATTTATGATCCCCAGAAGCATCAGGTTGGATTCTGAGTTCATATGGGTCGTTGCTCTACAATGTCCTATTATTATTATTGTTGTTGTTGTTTTTTCTCCCAAAACATCTCCCCAAAGGCACATTCCTAAGGTGACAATAAATATCATTGTCTTGAATCAGTGTGTGTGTGTGTGTGTGTGAGAATGTGTGTGTGTGTGTGTGTGTGTGTGTGTTTGCAACTCAGGTTTGATTCCTGACAACAGCTGGCAACAGCTTTAAACAGGTAATCTGATTTTCAGTGATCTTCTTATCCTTATCAATGATAGTCTTATTGTTAACTCTTTATACCAATATATATAATCTAAGATCTCTGTATATATTCAAGTACATAATATGAGTTCATGGTTAACCAAGAAAAAAGAGTGAACCATTTCTAGGGAAGAGCCAGTCTCATGGTAGTTTAAATTAAAATTAACTTGTCAAAAATGATACTTCGCTGCTAGCTGAAAAAAGATGGCTGGTATCCATTAGTAGTGTCCTTTTATCCTAGAAATTGAGTCCAACATTTTTAGGCCAAAGATTACATTGTGCCTTTAAGTAGCATTTCAACAATAAGGTAAGACAAAAATTGAGAAATGGGTTGAGTGGGGTCAAAAAATTAAAATACATTACATTAAATCAAATTATCTTAATGAGATATTGGTAGGTCAAGGGCAACATTTTAAGAGGAGAGGAAGTGAAAAAGTCAAGATAACATCAGAACTCACATGGTCAAAATCCTGCTTCTTTTTTATGTGTTATGATATCTTAAAAAAAAGGGGTGTGGCATTTTGATTGTCCAGGCTTAAGTATCATCTTGCCTTTTTTACCTCCACCACAAATGGTATTTGATTAAACACGTGATTGGTCATATTTCAAGCTGTAGTCACACTATTCACTGATTATTAAATCAACCAACCAACCATCAACCAACCAACCATCAACCAACCAACCAACCAACCATCAACCAACCAACCAACCAACCAACCAACCAACCAACCAACAAGGGACCTCTTTTTTGGGGGGGGGGGGAAACTTCAACTCTTTGGAAGAGCTTCACTCTGGGTATATAACAAAAATAAAATTGCAAATTATTGCATAAAAATAAATAAATGAAAACAGAACCCTGCATATAGGAATCTATTCTTATTCTGTTTTCTTGGAACCTTTTTCCTTTACAAAGAAAAAAAAAGATCAAATATTGAGTCAATTTGTGGACTCCTTATTAATTCTACTGGGAGAGAAGACATATTGGTTATTATGTCTATCCTTAAGAGCAACCTGAGAATAGGGAATTATTTTCACATTTTGCAATCACTCACTCACTCACTCAATCAACAGTCAAGGCCCTTCTTGAGGGTACTTCTAATTCTGCAAGTTTTATGATTCAATGAAAGACATTAAGAAATAATTTACTCTTCTTCTAACTGGCAATACCACTACGATAAAAATCAAGCTCATATACCTATCCACCCCTGTTTGTTTTCCTGTTCTCAACTCTTTTATATTTTTAGCCTTGTGAAACATTGCCAAAACTAGCCTGTGACATGCTGCAGAAAAATGTTACGATGCTTAGTTATGGAAACTATTCCTATTGCAACAACACAAAGCATGTGGATTTGAAATCTGTAGCATCGCTTCAATGCATTCTTGTTCTACTTCTTTGGAAATATCCTAAGTATAAATATTACCCCAAATTCCATTTTATTTATTGATAAATTATATTGTGTAAATGAAATAATAAATTGCTTCATTTTGGGTGGCATACAAATTTAATGATAATGATAAATTATTATTTCTGTGTGTATGTGGGCAAATGCAGAAATTTATGGAAATAACACTTTTTTGGGCCCCAAATTTAAAGGAATATTTAACTTTCTAAAAATAGTTGAGAGTAGATAATAAGTATTCAATTCCTTAGCCATATTGGTCCCTATCATCACAAAAAAGAAAGAAAAGATGAAATGTTTCTTCATCAATTTCCCAAAAACAAACTACCAAAATAATTTTGACTGATCACTTCTTATGAACAACAACCCTTAAACTGAGGAACTCTGTCCAAGATTCTAGAAAATGTTAGAGACTAAAGTTTAAGAAAAGAGGCTATAGTTTATATATCTTATTTTGAAAGATTCCATTAGACACTCAACCATCCTTCAGAGGGAGGGTGCAAATATCCGTAATTTCAACCAGAAGATGTGGAAAACTATCATAAAACACAAGATAGGGTTGTTCCTTATATTCATATAAAATTGTGTTTAGACAGGGGTTCCAACTATTCACCTATGTTTTTATATTTTTGGTATAGACTTTTGATACATAACAAATACAAATAGCAAGAAGTATGTATTTAAAATAAATAAATTAATGAATAGATTCATAGATAATCAAAGCATACATTTTCTATTTTATAGGAAAGCATAATTAATTATTGAGAGGATACTATACTAAGGCTTTCCACTGGAAAATAAAACATGGTTTTGTGTATCATTTGCAATTGCAATTGTGTACATGATGCTGTAATTTGTTTTTAAAAATGATTTTTAAATTTAATTTGTATGCCACCCATCTCACTCTGCAAAATGACTGTGTGGCTTGTTTAAGTTATACCATATAAACAAAGCTTAATAGCAAACGCTATGACCAAGTTTAGATTCTAAAACCCCCTTTTTTAAAAGGACTTTCTTTTATACATTAGGGAATATAGCAATCCTAATACATTTTTTTGGAATTAAAATTATTTGCATTACAATGTAAATAAAGTTTGGTTTAAAATCTTCCAAATTATTGAAATTGAAGTTCTTCCTTTATTAATACAATATGAGGAAATTAATTTATAGAACGTTCATACCAGTGATGGTATTCAGCCATTTCTATCCGGTTCGAGGGAACCAGTAGCAGTGGCTGTGGGAGGCTCCGCCCACTGCCCGGATGTAATCACGTCCCATTTTTGATGCTCTGCGCATGCCCGGAAGACCCTATGCATGCGCGGAGGTGGCTCGTGTGAGCGAAGTGATCAAGCGCGTGTGCGCTCCCATTTGCGAACTGGTAGCGAAGGTAAGTGAATACCACCCCTGGTTCATATCCTTTAAAGTAGTTTGTGCAACCGATTCATAAAACAGCAGTTGAAAACATAATCTAAATATCAATATTATGAATAATCCTAAATAGTTTTATTGTAGTGGGGTATACATTTTAGTTTTATGCAAATGGATTCATACTTGGGCTTTTTCACAATAATTTAACATTTTGCTATTTTTATATTATATTTATAATATAAAATAAATGGATTTTCATGATCTTAGTTTTTATAAAGAGATTCCCAAAAATAGATTCTTAATTAGTCAATTATTTTATCATTATGAATATTTGAGGGAAAGAACACTCTATATTACCAGACTCTTAATGCATTGATCATTATTCAGAACCTTTAATATTGCTTGTCCTTAACGCAATGGTTTTTGATATTTGCTTTGAAAAATGCACAAAGAAATGTACTGTCTGAACAGTTCCAGTTATTAGCAATTCTGACTTTTTTTAGAATACATATTTCAGCTTGTCTTTCCATTGATACTTTCAATTTGGATTTTAAAACCATATGTAAATATATTTTGGTGAATACATAGTATGCATTTCTTAAAAGCACTCAATTCTGGTTTTCAACAATTTTGTGACTTACGGTATCTTGGCTATGTTCTAAACTTTTCTTTACATTGTCTCTAGGCTCTGTTTCTACTTTAGTGAGATCAATTGTATCTGGTAAAACCATGCAAATATCTTGAAGAATCTTGGCTATAGTTCAGCACATTATTTTATGAACAATTTCCATTGGCCAAGCGAGCGAACTGATTAACCGCATGTCTCTCCAGCAGATACCAAGCAACAGGGATTCATAACGCTCTTCACATGCATCATTATATTCCAAGATGATCTGATAGCATTTGGCATTCCTTTCTAATGCAGGACATATGGTGCTTTAGATTACTGATTACCAGGAGGCTGTGCTGGAATAAATGTTCAGCTTGCTAATGAAAAAAAAATGTCAGGGAAGGCTGGAGAGATTCTGTAAAAATTGTCTTTTATTCTCTAAAATCTCTTTTCGATATTCTTCTATCCCCATGTCCAGTTTATCGTGGTTTCTGGTCAATTTTCATGCTCCTTGGAGTGGTCACTGTGGTGGTTGCTAGTTTCTTCATCATTTGTGCTGCACCTTTTGGTAGTCACATCCTCTACAAAATAGGAGGAGGTTTTTTCATTGCTGCTGGTAAGTTTCATGTGCTGTCCAAAGTTAGTTGTCCCAAAGCAACATTCTGTATCCTAAAATTTTAAGCTGTGTGGTTGAAACCATAGATACAACGCAAGGATCCGGGGAGGGTTTTGTGGGCTAAGTATAAAACACCTTGGATTTCACGGGGAATGTTTCTTGAAAAAGCCTCGTTGAAGGAAGGGATAACATTTTTTTTCAATGTATGTGTATATGTATATGTATATTATATATTCCAGTCATTCTATGTCCATTTATTTATCTATCTATCACAAAATCCTTCTTCTTCACAATATAATACCAGCAAAGTCCCTCTGGCTTTTTCTAACATGCCATATTCAAAATAACTCTAGAAGTTAATCTAAACTCCACATATTTTGTGGGACAGTATCTAAGAATGCCTTCTTGCTTATATAATAAGGAAGTAATCCGTTTAGCAAAGTGCTCTTGGGTTTGTGGTAGTCCCTTCAAGAAAAGGTATTATAATTTATTTTCAAGTCCCTGGAAAGAGAATAGAAAACTTAGTTTGAACCCAATTCTCTCCTTTAAGATCAACCCTCAAACTTTGTCTCCCTCTCCTGACAGACCAAGAAAATAAGAGCCTCTACTTCCAGTCATTTCTGTTTCTTTCAGAAACAACTCATCAGGTGTTTCTACAGAATACATATATACTTGCTTAGAACTCAGATTTGACATCCAGAACCCAAATACGTATCTTTTATTTCCCTTGTTCCATTCTGTTGGATTGAGCATATTTCTGTGTAAAGATTTCTGTTACTGCATATGTCCTTTTTATTTTATTATAGATACTCTGCTTATTTCTCTGACTCAGTCCCCATTTCTGCCACAAATTCAGGGTCTTGAACAATTAATTTTAACCATTTGTGACTGAATAGCCAGATTATTTTACATTATCTTTAAGTGATTTTCAATTCTTCCCCTGTTGTTCCATTTACATTCCAAACTTTGGTTCTTACAGCATTCCGGTAAATTCTATACCATTTCAGAACACTGACACATTGTTGGATTTATATTCCAACTGTCTCCTTAAAGGAATAGTCAAGGTAGCCTTAGCACAAGTTTTATTTATCTTCTTACCATTTTCCTTTCCCACAGATTATATGAAAGTAATATGCTAGTGGCTGGAGGCTTTGAAGTCATCCTGGCTTTCTGCTCACTTATTAATTTCGAAATATAGTAAAACACACTATAGATTTGAAATTATATACATTCAGAGCAAGCTATTCAAAGTACATGTATCTCTGTAAGCATTTCATGGCCTAACCCAAGACATTAAGCCATGCACAGGAGAATTCTGATTCAAAAGAGATATTGCTGATAAACTGATGATGTTGGATAATAGGTGTATTTAGAGCAATCCTATGTGTATCTGCTCAGACGTAAATCCTGCTACTGCAATGATGGAGTTTTACTTCTAACCACCCAGTTTTTCAACTCTGCAAGAAAATAACCCTATCTTTTTTCTTAGCTTATTGCTCCTTACTTATGTTCCTTCATATCACTTCATGGCTGTTCGGAGGCTCAAAGTCCTATTACCTTATTTAAAATACTGCATTTGAAACATATAATTTTATGTATCTCAGTTAAGACATGAAGTCTTAATGTGTGATTTAGAATCCTGTCTAATAAATGGATCCTTCCTAAATTCTGTTCTTTTCTATATTGGTTCAGAGGTTAAACAAGAAGGAAAAAGAAACTCTTTTACCAGAGGTCTTTATTTGATTATTTTAAACCAACAATCAAGCATGCAAGGAAATAATGGGAGGAGGGATGTATGTTTAATTTTCTCAACCCACATAATTTATCCTGTTTTAAATTGCTCACCCTTCATATATTTGAAATATAAGTGCAAGTACAAGAAAGGCTGATTTGCATATTGTCTACTAGCAGAACATGCAGATCAGCTAACATTTCAGAGCCTCTCTATGACTTTGTGTTCTGCTCCTCAGGCTGACTTATGTCCTTAGATTTTTGTAGGATTTGATTGAAGCTGTGTGGAGTGCATGAACTGCCCTGGTAGCAGAACAGTCTGTTCTTATGAGATCAGAAGGTGTCCATATACAGCCTGGTAACAAAGCCAACAGAAAGAACAAAGTCTGGAATGATTTTAAAAAATAATAATAAGGATTTTCAAATCTAGTGAGACTGTAGAGGAGCCTGTCACTTTAAACAGCACTTGTTGATCACATCTCAGTCTCTCCCTTCTTCCTTCCTTGTGTTTTATGGAAATTTTGTACCATAAACAATCCTTCATTGTTGGTATGGAAAAAGCATTGTTATGTGAGAAGATCAGGAATTTGTTCAAGCGTACAAATATTTCTTTTTTATTCATTTATTTCATTATTTCATTCATTTATTTACCTTTAAAGAAGCAGAAATATATTCGAATGAAGACTTCTGTTAATCCCTGTTTCTCATCCCTATGTTACTTTATACCTTGTGGATAATATAGGGGTGCCCCTGAAAAATAAAACAGCAAATGAATAATGGTGAAGGAGAGACAGAGAAATAGAGAGATGAATCCTTATTTATCCAAATATCTCTTGAACTCGTTGTTTGTTTTTTGAAGTAATGTGTTCCATCTTTTTGTGATTTGTTACATCTTTAAGACACTTATTTTTACTAATAAACAGGGAATTGCTCTCCAAGCAAAGGGTCTTCACAAGTTGGAACAGAGGAACTATGCAGCAGTCTCAAAAGTTTCTAAAAACCCATGCTTTTTTAAAAATTTAGTCACAGTCACTGGGCTTGAATGGCAATGGCCATTTGCGATAATGATTATAATAAAAGTACATTTTTCTCCCAAATCAATGAGGGTCATTTGGCCCATTCATCTTGGTAATAAACCTATGGTGCAATTAAGCATTCAATCCAGGGATGAAATGATTCGCCATCGCCCGATCTGGTAGCGATGGCGGCAGGTGGTTCAGAGAACCGGTAGCAAAAATCCCTGCACCCCCACCCCCCATACCAAGCTGAGCTGCGCAATCATCAGAGGCTTTTTAAAAAACTTTTAAAAGCATTTTTTCTACAATCTCTTCGGCCAAAAAAAAATGCTTTTAAAAATAAAATTTAAAAAAGCCTCTGATGATCGCGCAGCTCAGCTGGGATCGTCAGTGGCTTTTAATAGCATTTTTTTTCTGCAACCTCTTCAGCCAAAGAGGTTGTAGGGGAAAAAAATGCCTTTAAAAGCCTCTGACGATCCCTAGCTGAGCTGCGCGATCATCAGATCGCCAGAGGCTTTTAAAAGCATTTTTTCCTGCAACCTCTTAAAGTTGTAGAAAAAATGTTTTTAAAAGTAAAAAAAAAAAGTTGGCCACGCCCACCCAATCACATTACCCCCCCCACAAGCCATGCCCACAGAACCTGTAGTAACAAATTTTACATTTCACCACTGATTCAATCTGTTCAAACATAATGCAGGTTTTGAAGGAAGAAGTCATCTAAATAATGAATGTTTAAGACAAGGATTGGACCTTCCATTGGTTTTTGGTAACTTGCCCTCCTCAACCTCAACCAAAGCCCAAAAATTGATGGGCCAAATATTTTTTTCTATTGAATAGATAGATGTCACAAAATTATATGCTGACCTTCTTAAATGATGCTGAATAATATATAGTATCAAAACAAACTTAGAACATTTCTACCAAAGTAACTAATAAGTAAGTTTGCCATAAATATTTTTCTAGATGTTATTATATCCATTCATGAAAGATTCCCAGTAGAGAAGAAGACAAGAGTAGAAGTAGACTTGGATTCTAGTTCAGTAGTAAGCTTGTTGAGTGACTTTGGGCCCGTTACTTTCTTTCAGCCTATCCTTGCTTGCAATGTAGTTGTAGGGAAAATGGGGGGGAGAGAGTGTCACAAATGCTGCCTTGAGATTCTGAGCAAACTGAAGGGTAAAAATCTAACAATCCATTCTAGAAATTGTGACTTCCATAGATTTATAGGTTTGGAGAATCTGTTTTAATGTTTTTCTAAATTTTCTACATATTTCTGAATTCCTGTATGACAATTTTGCCATAAATATTTAATAAAACATTCTTTTATCTCCATCTGTTAGGCATCCTATTCTCCCTGGTGGTTGTACTGTATGTTATCTGGGTCCAAGCAGTGGCTGATCTCAAAAACTATGAAGCTCAGAAGAAAATTGACTGTTCAAGTTATTCCATCTTTGTACGTTATGGCTGGTCTTTTATACTGGCTCCAGTTGGAATATTCTTTGTTATATTTTCTGGCATGTTGTTCCTCCTGGTAGGACGTACAATTTATCTGCATTCTGATTAGTTGGGTAGCAGGCGCTTGAACTATTAGTGTGTAGTGAAGTTGTGCTAAAAAGGTTTTTTATACATTGTTATCCCTACTACCATAGAATGCTCATGGTATCATTGAAGATTGACTTAAATGAATAATGTAATTTCATATTGTCTACTCAGTAATACTGGAAGTGTGACCTTAGGTTCAGTGAAATTGCTTCCCAGAAATGTGCACAAGATTGTAGCCACTGTTTACATGTTCTTGCCATGAAGGACATGAAAATCCTTTCAGAAATAGGATCCTTTTATATTTCTTCAAATTTTCCTACATGTATTAACACACAAGGAAATATATAAAATAGTTAACATAACAATTAGGTGCTGGCTGCAGGCCAATTCAACAATTCATTATTGACATTAACAACTTAATGAAGGAACATTTACAATGAAACTAGATCTTTTTTTCTTTCCTGCCCAAATATTTGCTGCTGGAAATAAGGAAAAGGTTATGAGGTCATCCTTCTCAATTTATCTACAATGAATTTTGTATTCTGTTTTCAGAAAGATTCCAAATTTGATGTCATTAGTAATAACACTTTAATGTTATATAATATAATAATGTTGATTTCCAGAAACACACATATTTTTATTCAATATAGATCTAAATTTTCCTTATCATCAATATTTTTTCCCAGTGAAAGGATCTGTGTGCTTACGACAGCCAATAAATAAGATCCAATCATTAATTCGCCTTGTAGCCAAATTGTATCCTTTTCCTAGGCACAAAGAATGCAGAATTATATGGGAAAGTCTAGATGCAAATGCCCACATTGCTCCTGAAAGAAGGGCCAGCTTTGGTCTCCTTAAGAGTCATCTGAGAAGCAGTTTGGACTGGGCGTAGTCCTTCATTATAATATTGTTTGAATTGGTCCTGCAACCTTACTGAACAAACAAGTATTCCATTCAATGCTTACTCTATTTGTTTTTGTTTCAATTCTCAGTTTTATTATGAGCAAGCAGTTTGGTTCTTAAAAATAATTATCCACGTAATGCTTTAGCCAATGTGTCAGAGAAAAGATGAGATTAGTGGAAGAACACTTTGATACTGTTCAGTATAGATGCAATAATCCATGTGGTCCAAATCATAAACAGCTTATCCAAAGGAACTAAGAAAGATGATGGGTAAAATTATCTAGCTCAGCCCCCAGCAAACAGCAACTGATGTTGGTTACCTGGGCATCAAAGTGCAAGATACAATGTTAATTATTATTATTTCATTTTTACATCATGTTTTGGTGTCCAGTGAAGTTTATAATTTGATCCATTTGATGATATTGTTTAAACTATTGTCCGTCAATCATCTCTTCATAGTCCACCTACTCTCTTACAACATGCAAAAGAAGGAAGGAAGGAAGGAAGGAAGGAAGGAAGGAAGGAAGGAAGGAAGGAAGGAAGGAAGACCTATGATGGATATGTAGAAAGGATGATCATATGGAATGGAGAATAATGATATTCAAAAAAACTCATATATTATCACTTTACCACACACTTCCCATGTTGAAGAAGCAAGAACTCCATCCTTAGCTAGACCACAGTTGATTCTAATCAACTTGGTTTCTGCCCCAGATTGATAAAAGCTACTGGCAACCTGCAACCCTAGCAGGACGCACCAGCCTTACATGTGGTGTCTTTTTCTTGTGGCTCAGGATGATAGGCTTTCCCCATAATCCCTTAATCCACTATAAGATTGAAGTATTATGGGTAATGTAAAGGGGGTATTGAGGCCTGATTCATGTATTGCTATCATCACCAGAAAATGCATGTCAAGATTCAGTTAGATGAGGAAGGGCAGAAAGGAGGCATTAGAAATGTTACTTATATCTTTCAAGCCTGGAGCCAGGTCTACATTTCTCAAGTCTACTTTTGCTCCTTCTATTTGTTATCACTTTGCAATCATTCACTTTTTAAAATTAATACCATGCTTTCATTGGAAAACTTGTTCCACCCTCTATTTTTGGCAATAGCAAGAAAGGATGTCTCTTAACAGTCTGTTTACATCTGTTCTGCTATAATATAATCCCCTCTATTGATTTTCCCCCTTCTCCTCTTACCACAGTGGTTCAGGGTAGAATTAAAGCCCGCATGATTATGTTCTGATAAATATTAAAAGTGTCCATTTTTATGGAACTTCTGTCTTTACCTTTCCAAAGCCTTCTCTGTTGTCTGAATACTCTACACTACCTGCATAGGAGGTATACCTGTATGCCTCGGAATATGACTACGTAGAGACTGGCTAGTCGTGGCATCATCTGTTCACCAGGAGAAAGTGATTAGCAATTGAAAGTATGCCAAATCTGCTTCTTGCAAATAGGAGCAGATTTCGAAGATAAAATTCTTATCTCATCATTTGCGGCAACATATGATAATTGGATTTCTTTAGAAAAATACATATATATGTATTTGACATATGTTTTCTATGAAAAAAAATTGCTGTATATGTTCCCTTTTTAAAAAAATAAAAGTTAATGAGGAAAATATTTATATAAAGGAAGGGTTTTCTTTTCTTCTTGCTCTCTGTTTCTCTCCAAACGATGGTGCTAAATTTCATTATATTAGCAAAACATAAAACTTGCTGTTTGCTTGAGTATGCATTTTACTAATCTGGTTGTTATACATTTATACTACCTATAGATCTCAAAGTTGGTTAAATGTTCCAGACTATTTCTCATTCAGCTATGGAAATAGCCAAACTTCCTTATCTGAATTGTTTTTAGCTCCATTTGCCTTCGGACCATAGTATTCTGACTCATTCTATACATTTGATGGAAGTGATCTTATCTAGACATCTTCCTACCATTCCTTCAGCCTTCTGATTTGTTTGTCCACTGTCCACCTGAGGTCTATGGGAAAACTGCCCCTCCCCCCCGGTCCAGCTGATTAACAGCTGAATACAATGAACTTAACCACTGAGGGCCCTAGACTGAATTGAAAGACCCAATAAAAAAGTGGTAATTCCCTGAATGAGGCATCTGAAAGGTAGTTCTAGAAGTGTATAATAATTTTTCAGGTTCAAGTTACATTACATATGGTAATGTAAAATATAAATAATAAAGCTTTATTTTTTAAAAAAAATTCTTTTCTTTTTTTAGAATAGAATAGAATTTTTTATTGGCCAAGTGTGATTGGACACACAAGGAATTTGTCTTTGGTGCATATGTTCTCAGTATACATAAAAAGACAAGATACATTAATGAAGAATCATAGGTACAACACTTAATGATAGTTATAGGGTACAAATAAGCAATCAAATCATATTAGGAAACTATCAATATAAATCATAAATGCAAATTTTAAATGCATATTTTTAAAAGAATGCAAGAAATAGATAATATACTTACAAACTTAAAAGAATATGGGCAATACAGTTAGAAAAGCAAATGTAAGCCATGCTACATGAGTAGATATCCAAGAAATCTAAAACATCTATGACAAATATATTCCATTACATAATTAAAAGCTTATAATATAACAAGACAGTCGACGTCCCTTTTCTAATCAAAACATGTCTTTGTGAAACTTTAAATGTAAAGTGGATTGAAATTTTATTGCATAATAACAGTAAAAAGAAGCTGTGTAGCGCCTCACAGTAAAGCTGTGAAGTGGTGTTATAATTGTAGTTTTTCATTAAGAGTAAGCAATAATAATAAGTGACAGATAACTAGTCATAATGAATGTGAGCAAGATAAGTTACACTGCAGTGAAGAAAATCCAAACTGTTTTTCACTTTTGCTCAAGGCATCATCACTACTATTAATGTTTACTGATTGCTCATTTTCAGGGAAAATGACATGCTTTTTGGATGCTGATTTTTTGAAAGGCAGATCATTTTAAGAGTATAATAATAAGAATTATTACAATACACATATTGGTACTAAGGACACCCTACTTAGGCAGTTAATTACTGACTTGTAGATGCCCACCCACACACCCCTACTCTCAACATATATTTTCTTAAACTATTAGCTTTTTCCTTCTGTTCCTGTAATAAATTTGCCTATCTACTTCAGTATTTATTCTAATTGACAGCATGTTCCCAGAGCCTCGTGCAAACAGTGAGTCATATCACCTAATCCTTTGAACTGAAAATGCTAAAGACCAAACCTGGAACTAACTGAGCTGAGGAGGATTCTGCCATAAACATGACATAAGAAATCCATGTAGAAAAGAGCCTTGGTAGTACAGGGGTTTAAGGCACCCTGTTATTAAGCTGGTTATTAAGACCAGCTGCCTGCAATTACTGCAGGGTTCGAATCTCGCCAAGGCTCAAGGTTGACTCAGCCTTCCATCCTTTCTAAGGTAGGTGAAATGAGGACCCAGTTTGTGGGGGCAATAAACTGACTTTGTATAAAATATACAAAAGGATGAAGGCTATTGCTGAGCACATTGTAAGCCGCCCTGAGTCTTCGGAGAAGGGCGGCATATAAATCAAATTTAAAAAAAAAATTGAAATTTCAGTATTTATGAACGTTGAAAGGGCATAGGAGAGTAACATGAGAGAACATCAGGTATGGATGAAGGTAGGAAAAATCTTTTCCATTCATCACCTCTTGCAGTTCAGTGATTTTACTTCTGAACAGACCATTCATGCTGCAACATATTTCATGGAGCTATTCCTCCATGGTATACTTGGCAGCTATTTTAAGCTCAGATCACATTACTCCATTCAGCATTTGGCACCCCTGTTCCTGAGTTGTATTGGACTGATCTAAACAGAAATCATCTCAGTGGTTTTTGTTCTCCAGAATTAAAGCTGACAGCATGATCCTTATGATCCTTTCTTTCTTGGTATGTTATTACTTTTGTAACAATGTTTTGTTAGCACCACAGGGGAAATTCAGCACAGTTGTCAGTCAGATAGAGTGAATTATCAGACATGTTAGCTTTCCCTCTCAGTTACATTTGCTTAAGAGCTTATAAGCTACAAAGACTGTTTTTTAAATGCTAAATTGAATGAAATGTCCTGTCAAGGATATTTGGCAAGGACTTACAGAAATTTTTCCAGTTTCCAAACGCTCTGTTCTGAAATACTCTGGTTTACATAATCAATATGTTCAGAGATCTTCAGTTTATTAATGATGGAGAGATGAGAATGAACATTACCCTTTCAAAATATGAAACTGGTTCATAATTATGTATGTATGTATGTATGTATGTATGTATGTATGTATGTATGTATGTATGGATGGATGTATGTATGTATGGATGGATGGATGGATGGATGGATGGATGGATGTATATATTGTCAGCGTTACAGAACATATATACCATGTTTCCCCCAAAATAAGACCTCCCTGGATAATAAGCCCAATCGGTCTTTTGAGCGCATGTGCTAAAATAACCCCTCCCCAAAAATAAGCCCTCCCCAGTAGATAGGTACTATGTTTTCCCGAAAATAGTTAAACACACGCACAGCCGGTTTCCACCATTTCCTCTGGTTAGGGTTAGGGAGACAGAGCTGGAAATCAGGTAAGATAGCAAGAGAAGCCCCGTCTTGCTCCACCCACCCCAAAATAATAAGATCTCCCCAAAAATAAGGCCAAGCGCTGTGGGTGAAGCCGGTGAGCACCAGGTCCTTGAGGAGCTCATAGCCAGTGCTGCTGGTGTCCACCACCAGTACCCACGTGGAAGCCACGGCCTGGGCCAGCTCTCCCTGCAGGGTCCAACTTCAGCTCCAGCCATCACCATAGAGTGGGAAACACACTCCCAGAGCGGCCGCTGCCCTGGCTGGGGTTTGGAAGCCGGAGAGGCAGAGTTTGTAGGAGAAAAAGAAAGACTTCTGCTGCTTCTGCTTTTGGCTGCATGCAAGGAAAGCAGCAGAAGTAGCAGAAGTCTTTCTTTCTCTCCCCCAAACTCTGCCACTGTGGCTTCCAAAATCCAGCTAGGGCAATGGCCACTCTGGAAATGTGCTTCCTATTCTATGGTGACAGGGAAGGGAGCCTCGCTGGACCCTTACCCGCCCTTCCTCACACAGGTCCATGCTGAGGGCAGCCCCGACAGACACAGCTTGGCTCGCCCAGCCATGGCCAGTGCTCCTTGCCCATGGCTAAGCTTGGGCAGGAGGCTGCTGGGCCTCTGCAGGCAGTGGTAGCAGCAGCAACATCTGCAGCACCTCAGCCATCCCCACCAAGAGACCCGCGCCCAGCTGCAGGATGCACCAGGCCTGCCATTGTAGTCCTCCGTGACTGCCTGCTGCACATGGAGGCCTCTTTTTTGCTGGTGGCTGCCCTGCCAAGGAAGCCCTGGGGCAGCGATGCTTGTGCAGCAGCTGCTGTGGCGGGTGCTCTGTAGCGTGGGTTATGTGGACGTGGTGCCTGGGTGCAGGGGCGAGAGCAAGCGGGCTGCCACCATGGCACAGGAGCAGGAGAAGGCGTTCGAGGTCTACAGTCGGTGCTGCGGGCTGTGGAAGGGATGGGGGGCTCAGGAAGGAAAAAAACTGTTTAAACTCTTGCCGCATGGCTTCAAAGGGCTGCCCTACAGCTGATCAGTGTTAAAAGGCAGTGTGGTGGTAGACCAGAGTGCTAAAAAAACAAATGGGTAGACCAGTGCTTCCAAAAACAAATGAGTAGACCTGTGTCTCCAAAAACAAATGAGTAGACCGGTGCCTCCAAAAACAAATGAGTAGACCAGTGTCTCCAAGAACAAATGGGTAGATCGGTGCCTCCAAAAACAAATGGGTAGACCAAAACGCTCCAAGGACAAATGGGTAGACCGGTACAGCTTTGCAAGCAGTTAAAAGCCTGGTAGATCAGTACCTCTGCTAAATCCTAAAGAATTGTCACATGACCATCAAACCATGCCCACAAAATAAGCCACGCCCACAGAACCAGTAGTAAAAAATTTTAGAACCCACCCCTGGTGTGCATATTAGTGTATGAGAGAGGGGGGGCTTATTTTCAGGGGAAGGCGTATATTTAGGCCCAGTCCAAAAATCAGGCTTGACCTTATTTTTGGGACATGTCCTATTTTCGGGGACACACGGTACACACACACACACACACACGTGTGTGTGTGTATGTGTATGTATGTGTGTATACACACACACACACACACATATATAAATAAATAAAACATAGCACATAGCATTATGAAACCAGTTTCATATTGTATTTATATACACACACAGAGCTCTATATATTATACATATTCATTATTCTCCAAATGTATACAGCTAAAATACATATAAATCTCAGTCTACCTTCCTTGGAATTAGAAGGTTGTGGTATGATGCATTTGGAAATTTTGTCCAAGGCTGACAGGATCTTCAACATCAGGAAAAGCCATATTATACAAATTCATGGGCGATAGGCTCTTAGTGGCTATGCTCTATGACATTTGAATTAAGTCTTGGGTATTGGATATCACTGACTGCCAGATGCTAAGGATTAAACAAAGGTTGACAGACACATTTCCATTGCATCAGTGGTTGCAACCACTCAACCAACCTTTTGAATTGGAACATTGTATTAGATACTGTGAT